TCTCGGCTCACTGCAACCTCTGCCTCCCAGGTTCAAGCGATTCTCCTGCCTCAGCCTCCCAAATGGCTGGGACTACAGGTGCGTGCCACCACGCCCAGGTAATTTTTTGTATTTTTAGTAGAGACAGGGTTTCACTGTGTTAGCCAGGATGGTCTGGATCTCCTGACCTTGTGATCTGCTTGCCTTAGCCTCTCAAAGTGCTCGGATTACAGGTGTGAGCCACAGCGCACAGCCAATCATCATTTATTTAATCCTCTGTTGAGGGATATTTAGGTTGTTTACAGTCCTTTGCCATCCAGCCTGGGCAACATGGTGAAACCCTGTCTCTACTAAAAATCAAAAAATTAGCCGGACGTGGTGGCGCATGCCTATAGTCCAACTACTTGAGAGGCTGAGGTAGGAGGATCACCTGAGCCTGGGGAGGTCAAGGTTGCAGTGAGCTGAGATTCTGCCACTGCACTATAGTAGCCTGGGCAGCAATGAGACTCCTGTCTCCAAACAAACCAACAAATAAAAAAACCCCAAAAAACAATCATTTGTCATTACAAACAAGGCATGTAGTGAATAACCTTGTACATAGGCCCTTTTACAATTAAGCAAGCATATATATATGGCTTGCAGGATTCATTCCTAAAAGTGGAATAGTGGGTTAGAGTGTATTTGTATTTCTAGTTTTGTTAGAGATTGCAAAATTACCTTCCTAGAAGGTATACCAGCAGTTTTAGAAATATTATTTATATTTGATGGGACAAAATAAGGGTATATATATGTTACATTTCTGATAGAAATAGAGTTATAACTGTACTGGTGAGTAAAGTGGTATAAGTGACCTAAATCTACATTTTTCATAGCAGCAGGTTTATAATGAGTATCTTAAATGGATTGAGAAATAGTCAAAAAAGCATGTTATTTAGTGAAATGGAGGTAATCAGTGGAAGAAGTGCTTGCTGCTTTTCTTTTTTTTTTGAGATGGGGTCTCACTTGTTGCCCAGGCTGGAGTACAGTAGGGCGATCTCAGCTCATTGCAGCCTCTGCCTCCCAGGTTCAAGCAAGTCTCCCGTTTCAGCCTCCCAAGTAGCTGGATTACAGGTGTTCTACTATGCCTGGCTAATTTTTGTATTTTTAGTAGAGACAGGGTTTCAGGCCAGGCTGGTCCTGAACTCCTGACCTCAGGTGATCCACCCTCCTTGGCCTCCCAAAGTGCTGGAATTACAGACCTGAGCCAGCTTGCCTGGCCAAGAAGTGCTTGCTGCTTTTCATTTTAAATTGTTATGTACCAATTTAAAATATGAGCACTTATTGTAAGCTTAAAAAAAGATAAAATTATCCCTGAAATCTTTTGTTTTCTTCTCATCCCAGTTGCCAAAGCTCTGCAGGAATTTGACTTGGCCTTAAGAGGAAAGAAGAAAAGGAAGAAGTTTATGAAGGATGCCAAAAAAAAGGGGGAGATGACAGTGAGTGGCCTCTTTTTTGGAGTTTGGGTCCACTCAGTGGGATGGGTCAGAGTAGCCTGGTGTGTTCCACACTCATCCCTCCCCTCTTCCCCCAGGCAGAGGAAAGGTCTCAGTTTGAAATCCTCAAGGCGCAGATGTTTGCTGAACGGGTAGCCAAGAGGAATCGCAGAGCCAAGCGGGCCCGAGCAATGCCCGAGGAGGAGCCAGTGAGAGGCCCTGGTAGGTGGATGGGGAGCTCAAAGGAGCTTGTAGGGAGGTTTTCCCTGAAACCTGTGCTCAGGGAGAAAATTTGAGGGATGATGACAATAGCCCACATTATTTGGGTAATTAGTATGTACGAATGTGTACATACTAATTGGAGCTGTCCTCCATTGGTCTAAGGGGTGTAGTGACCCTGTGGGTGGTGAGGACTAGGATTTGAACACCAGCTTTTCTCACTCTGGAGCCTAAGTCCTTACCAGCTGCCACTTGGAGGAGCTGTTGAAGATAGACTGCAGATAGTCTTTGGATGCCAGAGCATCCACTGAACTTGGAATAATTACCCTGAACTTAAGGGGATTTAGGAGCTTGGGCCAAAGAGAACCATATCTAACCCCTTCTCTCTGTGCACAGCCAAGAAGCAAAAGCAGGGGAAGAAATCTGTATTTGATGAAGAACTCACCAACACAAGCAAGAAGGCCCTGAAACAGTATCGAGCTGGGTAGGATTTCAAGTCATCAGGGAGCCCGTGGTATTCTAATGGAAGCTATGAGTCTCCTCCCTCCTTCCCTATTCCCAGTTCTCACATACCTATAGCTTTATAATATGTAAATTCAAGGGTACCTGTCTGTTCTCCACCCCCCACCCCTTTCAAGGCCACCTGAGGATCCCAAGGTGGGAATAGGAGAGGGGTGTTAAGCTAGCACTGTTCCTGCCTTTGAGGTGAAATAGTACATTGTTGGGTTCAGAAATGGAGCTTTCCTTCAGGGGAGTGATAACTCTTTCATCTCAAGTTCCATCCTACAGAACCCCAGAGAATCCTGGCTTGCTCTCAGGCATGTGTTGTCCCATGCCACTTTCCCCAGCCCAGGGTTGGGGTAGGAGCAGACTAAGCTTCTCAAGAGGTTGTATATACATAAGAAGGGCCTCTTCCAACCTCATTTTAAAGTTGGGCCCTGAATTCCAAAAACACATGTCAGGTGGAAACCCATAAAGGCTTAGAACTTGGGCCCTGAAAATGATGCATGCCAGAGATGTCACTGCTTCATGTGGAAGCTGGGTAGGGTGGGGTGAGACAATACTGATTTGTTCAACAGCTTGCTCGTTTCAGCATCTCATCTTCTTTTTCACAGCCCTTCCTTTGAAGAAAGGAAACAGTTGGGCTTACCCCACCAGAGACGAGGAGGAAACTTTAAATCTAAATCCAGGTGATGCTGGCCGTTTTGGAGGGCCACAGGTTGTGGCTGTTTGGGATTAGAGATAAAAACCTTTCATGGAAAAGGAGCTTCTCCATCCTCATTCTGGTCTTAACTCTCTGATTTTCTTCTAGATACAAGAGGAGGAAGTAGCTGTTGTGACCTGAAGAAATTCATGGGGGCAGCCCTTAAATCCCTTCCCCGTGGGAAGTTATCTTGGCTGGTCTGTCGTTTCTCCATTTGTTTTTAAAAAAAATTAGGCCTGTCATTTGTGCATTAAAAAAAAAAAAGTTTGGGTGGTGGTGATATGTAGCTTTTTTCCTAAGGATGTCTGTCAATCTCCCTTCTTGTTGATTAGCTTTCCTATAATGACTATACTAAATGGAGGTATTTTTTCGGAGGAAGAGAAACCAATCTAAGTGTATTATCTTATTACTCTCTTCCTGTGCCCACAGTCTGCTAGGCTGGTACTGCCACATACAGTTGGAATGCAGAATATTTATGCCTGTAGAGGAACTGGTTATGGAGTGAGGAAAACTCTTGTTAGAAGGTCTCTTCTAGCCTGGGGAATACAGTGAGACCCTGTCTCTCCTGTCTCTTAAGAAAAGTTATCTTTTGTTGATATTCTAGAACTAAGAGCTACATGATAGCTTAGTTCTAAAACATCAACAAGAGTACTTTAGCATAAATGCCAACCATGCACCAGGTATTTTGTATGCTGAAGAGAATCCAGTCAATTCACTGCACTCCTTCCTGTGAGGCAGGCAGTGATATCCCCATTTTTCCAATAAAGAAACAGAGGCTTAGAAAGACTAACGTTCCAGATTTGCACAGCTGGGAATTCAGGTTTTCAACTAACATCTACTTGAACCCACATCCCACCTCTTACTGCTCTACTGTGGAAATGCTGCTGGAGAAACAGAAGCCCCAAAAGACAGAAGGAGCCTTGACTCCGTCAGTTAGTTACTTGCTGCAAAAACCAGAGTCCCTTGTGCCCAGGCTGGAGTGCAATGATGCAGTCTCGGCTCACTACAACCTCTGCCTCCCAGGTTCAAGTGATTCTCCTGCCTCAACCTCCCAAATACCTGTGGTTACAGGCACCTGCTACCACACCTGGCTAATTTTTGTATTTTTAGTAGAGACTGGTTTCACCACGTTGGCCAGGTTGGTCTTGAACTCCTGACCTCAGGTGATCCACCCACCTTGGCCTCCCAAAGTGCTGGGATTATAGGCATGAGCCACCATGCCTGGTAGAATGTTGGTTCTTCTTTTCTGACTCAGAATGAGATGAAGGCTGTGGGGCCCACCTGGGAAAAGTATGTATAGTTTGTTATAATTTCAGGGAGTACTTACTGCCCCACCCCCAGCTTGAAAATGGTGTTATCCAGTAGCACATACCCTAGATACTAGTGTGTTCAAAGCTATTCATTCAGGGTGCACTTAAGTCACCAACAGAGGGTCCAATTCAGAAAATGATGGCACAACTGTGTGATGGAGTCCAGTTCAGACTTACTGTCTTAATACGTTTTACAGAAAGGTCATTAGGCTAAAAAAGCCAAGTATGGAACTGTGTACTTTTTATATTGAAGCTGGGTCTCACTCTTGCCCAGGCTGGAGAGGAGTGCCTTGATCATTGCTCACTGTAACCTCAACCTCCCCAGGCTCAGGTGATCCTCCCACCTCAGCCTTTGGAGTAGCTAGGACTACAGTACAGGTTTGAGCAACCACACCTGGCTGATTTTTGTATTTTTTTGTGGAGATGGGGTTTTGTCATGGTGCCCAGGCTGGTCTTGAACTCCTGGGCTCAGGAGATCTGCCCACTGCAGCCTCCCACAGTGCTGGGATTACAGATGTGAGAACCACCATGCCCGGCCCCAAGGGATATGTATTGCATGTGCATAAATTATCTCTGGGAGGACTCAGGAAATGAACAGGGTTTGCTTCTGGAGAAGGAAACTTCAAGTATACCCCTTTGTACAGGTTGAAGAAATGTTTTTTTACCATGGGTAAAAATGATATTTACCAGCTAAATAAAAATCCTGTATCACAAAAACAAAATCACAGCCACTGTAGACAGTGCCTGCCCTATCCCCGTCTTCACTGTCTTTGGCCATCTGAGGTGCTTCTTCAAGTTGAGGATACACGTGGACCATTGATTTTCTCAATCATCGTTTTAATTGGCTTTATAAGCTAAAGTGCATAGTAAAGACAAAAAAAGGAAATGCATACATAGGAAAGGGACACGTAGAAAGGACCTGAGATACCTAAATGTCTGTTCTAAGGAACACTGGACTGAGGGAGGGGATGCAGATGCAGGCCCAACCCAGGCAAAAGCTGCAAGAGGGAGTGTTGGGATGAAGGATCACACCTGGGATAAATGCTGCTGGTACTGAATATTGAGTTTAGCCCCATTCAGTGCGTAAGGGTAACCAGCAGTGCTACCAAACCTCCACCATGCCAAAGTGCAGGTTCCAGGAAATGACCTGGGCCTGCTGCATAAGCCCCCAGATGTGGGCTGTCACATATTCCCCACTCTCAGTGACTATGACTTGAAGTCTTTGTCTTATCACATGCCTCCATTTCCTAGAGACAGGGTGCCCAAGGAGGGCAAGAGGGATTCTTGTGCTCCTTTAAGGGATAAGCAGTAATAAGCAACTCTGGGTCTCTTTATTATAATAAGAGTTAGTCTGCAAATTAGGGCCTTGCAATTAGAATCAGTCAGTGTCAATGAGCTCATACTCTGTTCCTGGGGAACACTCTAGAAGACACATCGGACCAAGTAAAGACCCAGAGATAACACTAGATGGCTGGCCCTAGGTGGAAGCCCCAAACATGTTTGAGGGAGTATGTTCACTAATTTGCAGGAGAGAAAAAGAGGTAAGATCTTTGCTCTTATTTCTGGAGATAAAGTGTTTACTCTAGCGCAGGGGTAAATCTAGAAACAAATGTGGGCAAGCCCTAAAAGTGGATCCTTAAATAGGTGCAAAGACTAGAAAGGATGATAATAAAAAACAAACTTCAGTTCCTTCATAAGGGAGTTGGCCCCAGTTATTCAGTGGCCAGGGCAAAAGGCAGTGGTGTACCATCTTCTTACATCATCCTCTGGATCTCCTCAAAGTTCATCAGGTTGTTGGCCGTGTCAGACCAGGCAGCATGCTGGGCTCCATCCATTTCAGAAGCAAGCTGGTTGCTTCTTTCCAGAGTGTGATTTGTGCCACCAATCACTTCCTTACACTCAGGACACCTGCCCCTCTCCATGGCTCCCCCACAATCGCCAATCACATAGATATGGCCATTGCGGCACTTGAACCAGTGACCACGAGGATAACCTATGGCACTGACAATCTGCACTCGCTCTTCCTCTGAGATGCCCAGGCCAGAGCAGGGAAGGGTGGCTTTCAGAGCTTCCATCTTCTCCTGCACAAATTGTTCATCCTCTTGGGTGAACTTACATGTTTTCTCAAGGATATTCTGGACACTATGGAACTCTACTGCTATGCTATCTTTCACTTTCCCTGTTATCTTGTAGCGGGTCAGAAGATTCACCAGGTACGTAAGCCTCTGGATTTCACTTCGGAGGTCACTTAATTCCTGGCTAGTAAAGCTCAAGCGCTTCTTGGCCAGCCACTCATGGACCTGCTCTAGTCGAGTCCTCACTCTTTTCTGTTCTAAGACATCCATTTTTTTCAGGGAATCCCACAGGCTGGCCAGGTGGTCATAGAAACTGATGTAATTCTCAACCAGAACCAGGTCCTTCACCGACAGATTTTTCTGGGCTAGCTTCTCCTTTATCGTCAGGAAGTCTTTAGGAAGCAGCTGGTGAAGGAGGCTCTTCCTCTCTAGCAGAACCTTCAGCCGTTCCTGGCTGGTTGCTATCTCCCCTGCCGAGCCCTGGATCTTTTCCTTGATGGTTTCAATCTCTTCTAGCCGCTGTTTTATGCTAGTTCCATACCTCAGGTTTTTGCGGATGGGCACTTGGCAGATAGGGCAGACTTTCAACTTGATGGCAACTTCATCATTCTTTTGTTCATTCATGTAGCGGTCTAGAGCTTGCACCTCAAAGATGTGGCTGCAGTCTTCCAGCTGCACAAAGCGGGCATCAGGCTCATCCTCAAACCCAAAGAATATTTGGGTGACCTCATCCATGTGGCAGATCCGGCATTTATTGGGGCACGGCTCCCCACAGAGACCAATGCAGGGGTGGCCACAAGCTAGCAGCTTAGTACAAGGCACACAGCACGGGGGTCGGTTGCAGGGCTCAAAGCAGAGTTTGGTGCACTGATAGTGTTGGCAGCGCCAGACACAAGGTTCCACACAGGGGCTGCACAGCTCCCCACATTTCTTCTTGCACTGGCTGTGGATACAGCGGTTCTGACAGGTCCGCTGGCAGGGTGGGCACTCACCGATGCACGGTTCCTGGCACTTGTGTGAGCAAATAAGCAGGCGCTTGCAGGGCTGCTGACAGCGTTCATGGAAACGCCCTTCGAAGCAGCTGTGGCAGGAGCCTGGGCAAGGATGCCCGCAGTCCAAGATAGTGCCACACTTGGTGGTGCACTTGGTGGCAACTGGCAGACCATACATGAGGTCTTTCACATAACCACATTTTACCTGTTGGCTATGCCCACACTTAAGTTTTACGGTGACCATTTCTGAACACAGCTGCACACAGTCCTCACCACATGGGTGGTTGCATCTGTGCCCACATCTCAGAAACTTGGGGCAAGGCTCTTGGCAGCAGAAATCTGACTCAGCCACGGAACAAGGGACCATTTGTTCATGGCCGCACTGAGGAATGGTTTTGGGCACCTTCACCTGACAAGGCTGACACTCCTGGAAGCAAACAAGGGGACACCGGTGCCCGTCCTGGCAGATAACCTTCTGGCATGGTTTCATGCACTGGAACTCCTTGTGTGAAGAGTCATAAGGGTGGCAGGCACGGGTGCAGACGTGCCCACAGCCCAGCCGGAACTCGCAGGGCAGGCTGCAGCCTCCTTCGGGTACTTTTTGGAAGTCAGAAGCTTTGGATACTAGGGTGTGGGTATCAGGGTGGTTCTGGCAGCAGAGGCGGAGCATGGGGCCTATTTGATTGTTCTCTCGAAGTGTATGAATGATCTTGCTCCACAGGGGCACCTTGGCCAGCATTTGCATGTTTCCAATGCAGTACATTCCCTTCTTGGCTCGGGACAAGGCCACACAGATGCGGTTGGATATCTGCAGAAAACCCACCTTGCCTTCTTGGTTGCTTCGAACTAGTGAGAGGAGGATGATGTCATTCTCTTCCCCTTGGTATTTGTCCACAACATGGACCCTGACACCAGCAAATGTCTTGGCAGGCATCAGCTTGCGCAGGCAGAAGAGCTGCCCAGTATAGGTAGTGAGGATGGTGATCTGGGAAGGCAGGTATTCCTGGCACAGGAAGTACTTGCACAGCTCTACCACAAAGTGAGCCTCGTGCTGGTTCTGATGGCTTTTGCCCTCTTGGATTTCCTGTTCAGGAAAGTTGTGTTCTACAAAGAAAAGGTTGGAAGACACCCCCTGACAGGGAAAAGAAGTGACATGTTAGAAGGTTCACTCAAGGTACTGTTTTTTCTTTCTCTCTTCACATGTACTGGTCACTGTCTCTGCTCCAGAGAGAGACTTTAGAAGGCTTTCTGTCCCCTTAACATCACTATCTTTAATTCTTTAGTAAGTCACTGTGTGATTTGTTTTGGGGCCACAGCAAATTATGAAAATAATTATGTCTACTTCAGTTTTCAAGATACCTGTTTGATATTATTTAAAACAGCTGGCTGGGTGTGGTGGCTCAGTCCTGTAATCCCAGCATTTTGGGAGGCCAAGGTGGATGGATCACCCGAGGTCAGAAGTTTGAGACCAGCCTGGCCAACATGGTGAAACCCCATCTCTACTAAAAGTACAAAAATTAGCTGGGTATGGTGGCTGGCACCTATAATCTCAGCTACTCAGGAGACTAAGGCAGGAAAATGACTTGAACTCAGGAGGCAGAGGCTGCAGTGAGCTGAGATTGCACCACTGTACTTTAGCCTGGGTGACAGAGTAAGACTCCATCTCAAAAAAATAAATAAAAGATAAAACAGCCAACCGCAATCCAACCATTATAGCTGAAAGAACAGGCAGTGGTATGATGATGATGACGACAGAGCAGCTAACTTACTGAGCACTCCACTGTGCTGACTGCTTTATATACATTACCTCCTTCCATACAGTAATGGCATATGGCAGGAGCTATTATTCTTATTGTCTAGAATAAACTAATATTCAGAATGTAATTTTTTTTTTTTTAATAGAGACAGTTTTGCTATATTGCCTAGCTTGGTTTTGAACTCTTGGCCTCAGCTGACGGAATTTATTTATTTATTTAAGATGGGAGTTTTGTTCTTGTTGCCCAGGCTGGAGTACAATGGTGTAGTCTTGGCTCACTGCAACCTCCACCTCCTGGGTTCAAGCAATCCTCCTACCTCAGCTTCTCAAGTAGCTGGGATTACAGGGTGGCTGCCACCATGCCGGCTAATTTTTGTATTTTTAGTAGAGATGGAGTTTCACCATGTTGGCCACGCTAGTCTCAAATTCCTGACCCTCAGATGATCCGCCTGCCTTGGCCTCCCAAAGTGCTGGGATTACAGGCATGAGCCACCAGGCCCGGCCAACAGAATTCTTTTTTTTTTTTTCTTTATTGAGATAGAGTCTCATTCTTGCTGCCCAGAATGGACAGTGGTGCAATCTCAGCTCACTGGAACCTCCACCTCCTGGGTTCAAGAGATTTTTTTGCCTCAGCCTTCTGAGTAGCTGGGACTACAGGTGTGTGCCACCATGGCTGGCTAATTTTTTTGTATATTTAGTAGAGATGGGGTTTCACCATATTGGCCAGGATGGTCTCAATTTTCTGACCTCGTGATCCACCCACCTTGGCCTCCCAAAGTGCTGGTATTACAGGCGTGAGCCACCACGCGTGGTCAGAATTCTTCTATAACTTGCTTAAAGTTACATGGCTACTAACTGGCAGAGTTGGGATTAAAAACGCAGGTCCGCATTTCAATTTCATCCTAGTAACCAGCTTTTAAAAAGCTGGCTCTATTCTCTTCTGAAAGTCTTTTTTTTTTGAGAGGGAGTCTCACTCTACTGCCCAGGCTGGAGTGCAGTGGCACAATCTCAGCTCACTGCAACTTCCACCTCCTGGGTTCAAGTGATTCTCCTGCCTCAGCCTTCTAAGTAGCTGGGAGTACAGGTGCCTGCTACCACGCCTGGCTAATTTTTATATTTTACTAGAGACAGGGTTTCACCACGGTGGTTAGGCTGGTCTTATACACCTGACCTCAAGTGATCCGCCCACCTTGGCCTCCCAAAGTGTTGAGATTACAGGTGTGAGCCACCACACCCGGTCGCTGAAAGGCTTTTTTCATCTTGAGGAAATTATAGCCTTTTTAGATTGCTGAAACCATCCAAGAAAGATTGGTAAGACAGACTCACCTTAATCTTCTCATACTTAAGAACAGAGGGATGATTCTCCAGATCCTGGTAAATGTGGGGGGTCAAAAGGCGGGCAATTTCAGGGCGCATGCGGTGCTGAAACAACACATGTATGTCATTAGAAAATCTAATAGCACCTGCTTTTAGATTGAATGTGGGAGGTGAAAGCAAGAGGAATCACAAGAGGACACACGGACAATTTCTTTAAACGTGAGGTTGCTGTTCGAAAATTTAGGGAAGGACAGGCATGACGGTTTATATCTCTAATCCCAGCACTTTGGGAGGCCAAGACGGGAGGATCACTTAAGCTCAGGAGTTCGAGATCAGCCTGGCAACATAGTGAGACCTCATCACTATTTTTCTTTCTTTTTTTTTTTGAGACGTATCACCAAGGCTGGAGTGCAGTGGCGCCATCTCAGCTCACTGCAACCTCTGCCTCCCAGGTTCTCCTGCCCCAGCCTCCCAAGTATCTGGGACTACAGGCATGAGGTACCACACCAGGCTAATTTTTTGTATTTTTAGTAGAGATGGGGTTTTGCCATGTTGGCCAGGCTGGTCTCTAACTCTTGACCACCTCAGGTAATCCACCTGCCTTGGCCTCCCAAAGTGCTGAGATTACAGGTGTGAACCACTGCACCCGGCCTCTACTTTTCTTAAAAAAAAAAAAAAGAAAGAAAGAAAGGAAAGAAAATCTAGAGAGAGAGATTATTATTTGAAAAAAGTAACTGCCCAGTCTGGAGTGCAATGGCGTAATCTCAGCTCACCATAACCTCCCCCTCCTAGGTTCAAGCAATCCTCTTGCCTCAGTCTCCTGAGAAGCTGGGATTATAGGCATGTGCCACCATGCCTGGCTAATTTTGTGTTTTTAGTAGAGACAGGGTTTCTCCATGTTGATCAGGTTGGTCTCAAACTCCCGACCTCAGGTGATCCACCCACCTCAGCCTGCCGAAGTGCTGGGATTACAGGTGTGAGTCACCATGCCTGGCTTCTTGTGGTGTTTTAAAAGAGAAAATGTAAGGTTGACAAAATCATTTCAGTAATATATTATTTTTATTTATATGAGACCTTTTTTGCTGGCAATTGGCAGCTTTCCAGGAGCTTTCCCCTGTGCATTTGGTAACGACAGAGGCCCAGCTTCTTACCTGGTAATTCAGACGGACAAAGGGAATGTTTACTTTCACTAGTCGTTCAAAAAGAGACACCTCAAGGTTGAAGTTCTTGGCCAGATCATACACGTTGGCACTGGGGCGCAGCTGAAAAGAGAAATATGATTGAGGATTCTCTTTTGATAAAGTCTTTTAACCATCCATACTTCCATCCATCCAATCAATCATCAAATGTTTTTCAAGTGCTTCCTGTGTGTCATGCACTATTCTATGTACACAAAGTTTAAAGATTAATAATGACAAGGATTAAGGATTAGTAGAACTAAAGGTGATATGACAGAGTGCCCCATAGCAGGTTTTTTTCTAGCTAGGTCTCTAACCAGTGACATCTGAGTTAGACGCTAGCATGAAGGAGGTTGCCAGTTCTTCAGTCATTTGAAAAGCAAGCCATAAGGGGGAGTGGAAAGGACAGAGTGGGACACCATGAGCAAATGGGATGAAGTCAGAGAAATAAGCGGAAACCTGATCACCAAAGCCTTTGTAGGCCACTTAAAGGAGCTTGATTTTTTTTTTTTCTTTGCATTTTAGTTTGGGAAGAAGCTTGATTTTTATGTGAGTGCAATGAGAAACCACTGGAGGGTTTTCAGCTGGAATGTGATATCTACTTTTTTTTTTTTTATTTACTTTGGCTCCTTTATGTAGAGTGCATTACAGAGCAGCAAAAATGGAAGCAGGGAGACCAAGGAGCATACTGTTGTAATACAGTCCACTTCGAGAGGCCATGGTGGACTAAGTAAATAGCAGAGGAAATGGATGAAATAGATGATGTTGCCTCTAAAATATACCCAAAATCTAATAGCACCTGCTCTTAGATTGAATGTGGGAGGTGGAGGCAAGAGGATCACAAAAAGCTACAAGCTTGAGGATTGTTGAAGCGGAGGCCAGGGTCCTCCTTTATGATTCTACCCCCACAGACAGCCAACTCATCTTATGGGTGAGAGGGGGGACTCCTGTTTTACCTGCTGGTGGTCCCCAATCAGAATGAGGTGCTGGCAAGCTTTGCTCAATGTGGCAATGGTATGGGCCTCAAGGACTTCAGCAGCTTCTTCCACTATGACAATCCTCGGCTCTACCTTCTGTAGGATCTGGCGGTATTTGGCAGCACCTCAAGTGAGAAAAGAAGAGTAAAGACTCCTCTGAGCTGAGGCAAAGGACCCACAGGGATTCCTCTGGGAATCTGCTTTTGTATCTTCCCTGAACCTGGATCAGTGATAACTAGCCCTTGTAGTGTTCTGGGTGGTCTCCAGAACATTAAAGCTGTGTTGGTCATTGTTGGAGTTTCAAACTCAGCAGGAGAAAGTCAGTGAATTTCACCGAGTTCTCAAAATATAGATGCTTTCAGTAGCTTTTCATGGTATTTTCCTCTAACCTTCTAACAAAGCTTCTCTTTACCTGTCCTTAGATAATCTGGCACAAGAAGTGAATTTAGATGCAATAGGTAAATTCCTCCACACTTTCTTACCTGTGGTTGTCATTCCTACAACCTGGGCATCTTTAAGAATGTGCAGGTCTTCCTGGAGTCTCAGCTCAGCCATTCTTTCTGCTGATGTGCGGTACTGGCGTTCATAGCTGAGGATCTTCCGGCGGGTGTCGGCCTGGTACAACTGTAGCCACAGCCTGGAGAATGGGAAGAATCAAGGAAAGAAAGTCACAAGATCTTTGAGAAGGTGGAAGAACCCCCTTCAGTGTGCCTAGTATATGAAGTGAACCTTGGACCCTTGAGGAACATAGTGACAGACAGAGAGATATACAGACAGACAAAGAGATCCAGATATACAGGGACCCAAGAATCCAAAATGCTCAACAAAAAGATGTGCAGAGTGGCCAGGAACTAAGGAAAGGGGTGAGATAAAGAAGAAAGGTTAACTATGAGAAGAGAATAAAGAGACATCAAAAACTTCAGGAAGAATTTCTCATAAATTCTCGCTGTACCATCCCTGCCTAGTTTTCCTCCTCTCTTCTAATTCTCCATAAAGTGTTTGTTTTATTAGCAAAACTGATGATGTCACTAATTGACGTAAAACTTTCCAATGGCTATTACTCTTTTCAAAAAATTTTTCTGTAGAAATGAGGTCTCACTATGTTGCCTAGTCTGGTCTTGAACCCTGGGCCTCAGGTGATCTGCTAGCCTCAGCCTCCCAAAGTGCTGGGATTACAGGTGTGAGTCACTGTGCCTGTCGCCTCTCTGTTCTTTCCTTTCTGACTTTTTATGCCCATTTGTAACTTTTTAATTTGTGGAATTATGTGATTAATTTGTCACCCTGGATAGGCTCTAAATTCCATGAAGGTAGAGCTAATGTCTATTCTATCCCATGGCTGTATCCCTATCACTCAGCTCAGTGGTGGTGTTCAATCAATAATTAGTTAACATCATTGAAGGTCTTGGAAGTGGACAATGTTCCAGGAATAGAAAAAACTCCCTGGGGAAATTACATGGGTTGGTTGGGTGCCAAACACAGTACCTATAAAGCTGCCAGCGAGAACTGAAGTCCAGCTGCCAAACATCCTCGATCTCACTGGCCTCAGCCTCGGTCATGGTGTTCAATTTGCGAAGCTCATCCTTCACCCTCTTTTTCATTTTCTTTTTCTGGTTGCGCTGGGTCTGCAGACATCAATACCATCAATACTAATACTGCCTGAGCAGAGGCAGGCTTGGTTTTAAGCCCAAGGTAGGGGCCATAGCACATAAGAAAAAGGGCTGCTATCCCTGATTAATGTCAAGTATCTTACATTCTCCCCATAGTTCTTCTAAACAAAGACTAAATAAAGACTCTGGAACCTGTTTGCCTGGCTTCAAAGCCCTACTCTACCTCTTACTAGGTTGTGGGACCTAAGGCAAGTTACCTAATCTCTGTGTCCCTCAGTATCACCTTCTAAATAACATCTCTTTATAGAATCGTTGGCTAGTCAGGAGTAAATACATGGAAAGCATTTATACTAGTGCTAGCACTAATTATCATTAAACATCTTTGACCATAGCCTGTTTCTCCTTCCAAAATGTATGCCATGAACGTCACGGGGTTAGGATTTTCTTGTTGAATGCTCTACAACCAGTGCCTAGCAACTGGTGCTTTGCACAGTACTTGACACAGGGCCTGCTAAAACGGTCCTAATGCCATCATATCAACACAGTACCTTTAACAAGTGGGTGGAAAGCACTGTTATGAGAAAGCACTCTCTTCTGGCTGTCACTGAGCCTGAGGCTATGAGCCTTTAGAAGAACTGGCAAGTCAGACAGATGTCACTACATAAAGATCTGCACCCTCTGCTTTAAAACCAAACAAATTAACCTTTCTTGATGCCCCCTGGGAGATGCTCAATCCATGCTTCTAAGAATTGAGATCATGACTCCACTCACCACATATAGTGATGCTGAACTGAACTAGGAGATCAGGTGCAAAGCTAGCACTCAGGTGAAAACTGCATCCAAAGTTGTTCTTGAAAGTTCTTAAATCATTCATAAGGTTTACAAATTCTTGAGTCTCTAATCCTCGATCATCATAGTTATGCATGGTAAATACTGAGGACCACTAGGCTCTACCAGAAGGAACAGAGGGAAGGCTACATGAAGACATCCGGGAATTCATATAATTCTGGCTTTAAGAGAAGGGTCAAATTCCAAGGTGAGTGAAGGAGGAATATTCCACCCAGCCTGGAGGTCTTGATTCATTGCTTACTTTAATCCTCTAAAATCTTGGTACATGTTCACAAACTCATTTGAAATAAAGAAGGTAACACTCCTGAAGGTATTAAGTGCTGAGACTGTTTGACCTGATTCATATATGCTACATTCTTCCCGGAGTTCTACAGAAGCACTTGGCTACCTGCTTCCTGTCTTTCTAAGTCAGCATTTCTTGCCAGAGGCCCTCTGAAGAACTGTAATATTTTTATGCTTGGGAATTACACCCATCTCATACCAGGTATAGGCTATAATATGGGTACTTAGCTAATTGTAATGATGAAGTGAATATACTGTATTAGAAGTGGGGGAAAAAAGTGGTCAGAACACTCTCAGTTTCAACCCAAGGAAGTGATTTTACCTGCCACTCTCCTATTGCTTGCTCCTGTCCAGCTCCTGTCCCAGGGCCACAGTGGTCTAGCCTCATGGCCAGAAGCATTTTAGCCAGCTCCTGGTCTGCTCCACTCTCTTCCTTCTTCCGCCGCCGAGGCCTCACCACCTCTTCCTCCTCTATTACCCGGTCTGCTTGAATCAGGTCAGCTTCCTCTGCGATCTCGATCAGCGAACTCTCCTCCTCCCCTTCTTCTTCCTCCTCCCCTTCTGCCTGGGCTAAGAGACAGAAACAGGCAGGACAGAGATGGAAACTCTTGAAGCTAAGGGACAGAAGATGGCACCTATAAGAGCTCAGATGCATGAAGACATTATCAAGGGTTTATGTGAGTATTTTTGAGAACAGAAACCAGAAGGAATGAGAAGAGAGTTAGGAAAGATTTAGGTCTCCTTATATACTTCTTGTTTTACATTTTAAAAAATCATATGAATGTATGCCTTTTAAAGAAAGGTTTTGGCTGGGCACGGTGGCTCACGCCTGTCATCCCAGCACTCTGGGAGACCAAGACGAGCAGATCACCTGATGTCAGGAGTTTGAGAGCAGGCTGGCCAACACAGTGAAACCATGTCTCTACTAAAAATATAAAAATTAGACAGGTGTGGTGGCGCACGCCTGTAGTCCCAGCTACTCAGGAGGCTCAGGCAGGAGAATCACTTGAACCAGGGAGGCGGAGGTTCCAATGAGCCGGGATCTCGCCATTGCACTCCAGCCAGGGCAACAGAGCGAGACTCCATCTCAAAAAAAAAAAAAAATAGATAAAATAAGAAAGAAAGGTTTTACTTATAACAAATAGATATACAATGGAGAGCATACAATGTAAATATGTAATACAAAGGATAATAAAAATATGTAAAATGAATACCCAGGTACCTTCCACCCAATTTAAGAAGAAAACTGCCCCAAAGGACTATAAATCGTTCTACTATAAGGACACATGCACACGAATGTTCATTGCAGCACTGTTTACAATAGCAAAGACCTGGAATAAACCCAAATGCCCATTGATGATAGACTGGATTGGAAAAATGTGGCACATATACACCATGGAATATTATGCAGCAATCAGAAATGATGAGTTTGTGTCGTTTGTAGGGACATGGATGAATCTGGAGAACATCATTCTCAGCAAACTGACACAAGAACAGAAAATGAAATACCGCATATTCTCACTCACAGGCGGGTGATGAACAATGAGAACACATGGACACAGGGAGGGGAGTACTAAACACTGGGGTCTATTGGCGGGAAAAGAGGAGGGCCAGCGGCGGGGGGAGCTGGGGAGGGATAGCCCGGGGAGAAATGCCAAATGTGGGTGAAGGGGATAAAGGAAGCAAAACACACTGCCATGTGTGTACCTATGCAACTGTCTTGCATGTTCTGCACATGTACCCCAAAACCTAAAATGCAATAAAAAAAAAAAAAGAAAACTGCCAAATATTTTGAAGACCTTTTGAGTTTTCTTAACCTGAATTTTATATTGCTCATTTCCTTTTTAAATGAAAACAATGTTACCACATTTATACCATCTCTCTCTCTCTAAGTAACACATTGTCTAGTATTTATTTTTCTGTAACTTGCTTCTTTTTTTTTTTTTGAGATCATGTCTTGCTTTGTCACTTAGGCTGTAGTGAAGAGTTGCAATCATGGCTCACTGCAGCCTCAACCTCCTGAGCTCAAGCCATCCTCTCCCCTCAGCTTCCTAAGTAGCTGGGACTACAGGCATGCACCGCTACACCCAGCGAATTTTTTTTTTTTTTGGTAAAGACAGGGTCTCATTATGTTGCCCAGGTTGGTCTCCAACTTCTGGGCTCAAATGATCCTCCTGCCTTGCATTTTCAAAGTGCTGGGATTACAGGCATGGACTGCCATGCCTGGCCAATTTGCCTTTTTCATTCAGCATGTTTTTGAGATTCATATATGTTACTGTATATGCTATGATTCATTCCTTTTCACTGTTGTACAGTATTTCATTTTCTGAGTTGACTTAATTGATCTATCCACTGAAGAAATGTTGATAGACATTTGAGTTCTGATTTTCTGCTATCATAAAGTGGTTATGTAAATTTAAATATCCCCAGCAGCAGTGCATCAGAGTTTCCATTGCTTCACATTCTCATCAACATGGGGTTATATCAAACTTTAATTGTTGCCAATCTGGTGCATGTGTAATAGGGCAACAGAGCAAGACTCCATCTCAAAATCTCATTGTGGTTTAAATTCCTCTAGTTTTTAATGAGCACTTTTCACGTACCTACTGAACAGTAATATTTCCTATTTTGTGATTTATAAAAAGATTTTAAAAATCTTTTATCTCTTTTCCTTATATTAAGCTATCTGTCTTTCTCTGATTGACTAACAGGTCTTTATTTATTCTCAGAATTATTTTGAAATTTCACCGTTCTGGTCTTTACCATATTCTACCTAAGGTGTGATTCTAGGAAGACATGCACTTCTTACCTGTATTGTTAGGTCCTGCTGGAGAAACACTTTGGGTGAAAGAACCGACACCAAGACCTAGCCACTCCAGCATCATGGAATGCTTCCAGTGCTGGAAGCAAATCCATTCACTATCCTAAGGAAAAAAGAATGATCATTTGTGAGGACTCTGTGACAACCAATGTGAAGGCAGGGCCTCTTGAAAGAATCAAGAGCAGGTTGGGGCATGGTAGCTCATGCATGCAATCCCAGCAATTTGGAAGGCAGAGGCAGGAGGACTGCCTGAGCTCAGAAATTCAAGACCAGCCTGGGCAACATGGTAAGACACCAAGTCTTTAAAAAAAAAAAAAAAGACCGGGTACAGTGGCTTACACCTATAATCCCAGCACACTGGGAGGCCGAGGCAGACAGATCATCTCAGGTAAGGAGTTCAAGACCAGCCTGGCCAACATGGGAAAACCCCATCTCTATTAAAAATATAAAAATTAGGCCTGGCACGGTGGCTAACGCCTGTAATCCCAGCACTTTGGGAGGCCAAGGGAGGCAGATCACGAGGTCAGGAGTTCGAGACCAGCTGACTAACATGGTGAAACCCCTGTCTCTACTAAAAATACAAAAAAAAAAAAAAATCAACCTCCTGAGCACCTGGATGTGGTGGCAGGTGCCTGTAATCCCAGCTACTCAGGAGGCTGAGGCAGGAGAATAGCTTGAACCTGGGAGGCGGAGATAGCAGTGAGCAGAGGTCACACCACTGCACTCCAGCAAGACTGTCTCAAAACAAAACAAACAAAACACAAAAACAAAGGGCTCAAGTCTGTAATCCCAGCACTTTGGGAAGCCAAGGCGGGTGGATCATCGAGGTCAGGAGTTTGAGACTAGCCTGGTCAACATGGTAAAACCTTGTTTCTACAAAAATTAGCCGGGCATGACAGCAGGGGCGTGTAATCCCAGCTACTCAGGAGACCGAGGTGGGAGAATTGCTTGAAGCCGGGAGGTGAAGGTTGTAGTGAGCTACTCCAGCCTAGGGAGACAGAGCAAGACTCCATTTCAAAAAAAAAATTTTTTTCTAATAAAAATTTCCAGAGTATTTTGACAAAATCAGGAACTATGGCAATACTGACCCTTTAAAATTACTGAATGGCAACAAATGGCTGGAGCTAGATTGCTACACCTTTTCTAGTTTGCCACAGTCCTCTCTGCTTCTTAATATTTCAAACGTAGATTGCTTCACTTATTTTTCAGTGAATGACCTCTGTAAGTTTTTGGATTTGTAATCCTGTAAATTAGCAACCTAATGATAACAGAGCTACCATTTCATTAGGATCCTGGCAAGCCACTTTACAGAGACTGTCTCAGTTATTTTTCTTTCTTTCTTTTGAGACAGTTTTACTTTTGTTGCCCAGGCTGGAATGCAATGGCGTGATCTTGGCTCGCCGCAACTTGTGCCTACTGGGTTTAAGCCATTCTCCTGCCTCTTGAGTAGTTAGGATTATAGGGATGCACCAGCATGCTTGGCTAATTTTGAATTTTTAGTAGAGACAAGGTTTCACCATGTTGGTTAGGCTGGTCTTGAACTCCTGACTTCAGGTGATCTGCCTGCCTTGGCCTCCTAAAGTGCTGGGATTACAGGCATGAGCCACAGTGCCCGGCCTTCTTTTTTTTTTTCTGAGATGGAATCTTGCTCTGTTGCCAGGCTGGAGTGCGGCAGCATGATCTCAGCCTCCTGAGAAGCTAGGATTACAGGCACCTGCCATCACACCTGGCTAATTTTTGTATTTTTAGTAGAGATGGTATTTCATCATGTTGGCCAAGCTGGTTTCCAACTGCTGACATCAGGTGATCCACCCACCTTGGCCTCCCAAAGTGCTGGGGTTACAGGAGCGAGCCACCGTGCCCAGTCCGTCTCAGTTATTTCTTACAGTATCTTGTGAAGGCAGGCATTATCATTAACCATGTTTGATTGCTGAGCATCACACTAGCCCGTCACACAGTCTGCAGGACTATATCTATCAACTCCCAAGTTCTCTATCTGTGCTGGTTTGCCTCTGGTTAAGATTTTGGTCATTTCATTGAAGGAACACCTATTAAATTAATAAGTTTACAAACACTACATTGCTCAACCAAACAACAATCCTATAAGAACAAAGATCTGTAAGAAATTGCTTTTTTTGCAAATCAAAATTACAGATATTGGCAATTTTTTTTTTTTTTTTTTTTTTTTTGAGACAGAGTCTTGCTTTGTTGCCAGGTGCCAGGCTGCAGTGCAGTGGCATGATCTCGGCTCACTGCAACCTCTGCCTCCGTTCAAGCAATTCTCCTGCCTCAGCCTCCAGAGTAGCTGGGACCACAGGCATGCGCCACCATGCCCAGCTAATTTTTGTATTTTTTAGTAGAGATAGGGTTTTACCATGGTCTCTATCTCTTGACCTCATGATCTGCCCACCTCTACCTCCCAAAGTGTTGGGATTATAGGCATGAGCCACCGCGCCTGGCCAGATATTGGCAATTTCATATGGTTCAACTTAATGCTTATTATTATCCCCATTTTATAGAAGAAGAAACAGCCACAGAAAATTAAGCAACTTCTCCAGAGTCAAGCCCAGATTAAAATCCAGCAGGCTGGTTCCAGAGTGTTGTTCCTGACCAGTATACTCAGCTGTGTCTAATCACAAAAGGGAACTTTGCACACTGTGGCAGCATCAGATTATCAAATAGCTAAAGTTTTGAACTGATGCTTGTCCTGGAGGCTCCCTCAAAGTACTGAGGCCAGAGACATATTTGTGTTCCCCAAGATGACCCCTACCTGCACTGGACCATTCATGAGACTTTTCCAGTGCTGGGGTAAAATGTACTTCTCCAGGTACTGTTCCCGTAGGACACCATGCATGGTGCACTCCAGGGTCTTGGCTCCTTCATGAAGCTCTTGCTCCGACTCCTTCATCTGTGTCATGATCTGCCAAGTACAGAAGGAAAGAAATGATGAGGAAATATCATCATCCCCCAAACTCAGTAATTGCCTTAAGGGAAAACAAAGCTAAGACAGGAACAATAAGGAGGGAGAATAAATAAATAGACTAGTCAACAAACCAATTTCCCAAGGCACACTACTGTGGTCTTGAAACCAAAGAATTAGTATCAGCCAGGTATGGTGGCTCATGCCTGTAATCCCAGCACTTTGGGAGACCGAGGCAGGCAGATCACTTGAGGTTGGGAATTCTAGACCAGCCTGGCCAACATGGCAAAACCCTATCTGTACTAAAAATATAAAACATTAAAAATTAGCCAGGTGTGGTGGTGAGTGCCTGTAATTCCATCTACTTGGGAGGCTTAGGCACAAGAATTGCTTGAAGTCAGGAGGCAGAGGTTGCAGTGAGCTGAGATAGTGCCACTGCACTTCAGCCTAGAAGACAGAGTGAGACTCTGTCTCAAAGAAAAAAAAAAGAGTTAGTACCCAAAATGTCTAAAAGACTCCTACCAATCAGTAAGAAAACAAGTAATGCAGGTTGAGTATCCCTTATCCAAAATGCTTGAGAGCAGAAGTGTTTCAGATTTTGAAATACGTGCATTTATACTTACTGGTTGAACATCCCAAATCTAAAAATCCAAAATACGAAACAATGTTGGGCAGGGTGCGGTGGCTCACGCCTGTAACCCCTGCACTTTGGGAGGCCATGAGGGGGCGGATCACCTGATGTCAGCAGTTAGAGACCAACCTGGCCAACATGGGGAAATCCCATCTCTACTAAAAATACAAAAATTAGCCAGGTGTGATGGCAGGTGCCTATAATCCTAGCTACTCAGGAGAATTGCTTGAACCCAGAGGTGGAGGTTGCAGGAAGCCGAGACTGCGCCATTGCACTCCAGCCTGGGTGACGAAGCAAGACTCTGTTTTTTGTTTTTAAAAAAAAAAAAAAAAATATATATATATATATATATATATATATATATATATATAAGAAATAATGTTGGCACTCAGAAAGTTTTGGATTTTGGATGCTCAATTTATACAATAGAAAAAAAAACAGGCCAACAATACTATGGCAAAGACTTTAAGCCTTACAATATCTGTTCTGTCTTTTCCTTAGTAATAAAAACTCAGATTTTTTTTTTTTTTTTTTTTGAGACGAAGTTTCGCTCTTGTTACCCAGGCTGGAGTGCAATGGCCCGATCTTGGCTCACCGCAACCTCCGCCTCCTGGGTTCAGGCAATTCTCCTGCCTCAGCCTCCTGAGTAGCTGGGATTACAGGCACGCGCCACCGTGCCCAGCTAATTTTTTTGTACTTTTAGTAGAGACGGGGTTTCAACATGTTGACCAAGATAGTCTCGATCTCTTGACCTCGTGATCCACCCGCCTCGGCCTCCCAAAGTGCTGGAATTACAGGCTTGAGCCACCGCGCCCAGCCAAAACTCAGATTTTTGATTGGGCACATTGCTGCCCAGCTAAAAGATGACATTTCAGTTTACTCTACCTTGAGGTGCAATGGATGGCATGGGGGAAGCAGCCTTAAGGCAGGGTGGGGAGGGGCACTGTGTCCTTGTCTTTTCTCCATCTTGGATTGTGAAGGCAAAGGTCATACCAAGGGATTAGCAACACAGAAAGAAACCTGGACCCTCGAGAGCTTTGAGGAGCCTCCACGTCTACCCTGGGCTGCCTACAAAGAAAGCTACTCCTATCTTGTTTAGGTCCCTCTTGAACTACCTCAGATATTTCAGAGCTGGAACTTACACTCATGTAGGCCCTTCGGAGGTGCATGGGGAGGTTTCGGCGGAATTCCCGCTTGTTTCTCAGCTCCCTTAGGGTGAACTGCTTCAGGATTTCACTGTTGCTCCTTCCACCCACCCGTACAATGCTGGTCTTCTGACACCTGTAGATGCCTGTGGAGCAAAGTGGAGCATGGCAGGGTTGAGAGGAGCTATGCTAGGTTCTCTAAGGTGAGAGCTGTGTGTATCTGGGAGATCAAGTCAGGTCCCTTAGGGAACAAACCTGTGCTTACAGTAAATTTACCCCATTAATGAGTGAGAAGGTCCCAGAGAAGATGTGACCTGCAGAGCAGTAAAGTGTAGTACTTAAGAGTACAGGTTCTGGAATCAGACAACTGGGAATCCAACTCTCGACTCTACCAGTTATTGCTGTGTAACCTGGGGCAAGTTACTTAGTTTCTCTGTCTGTGATTGAGAGCTGGCAATATCTCCCATGCAGGGTTACAATCTGGATAAATGAAAGAGCATCTTTAAAGCTCCTAGCTAGGGCCTAGCACAAAGCAAGCACCCAGGAAATGTTATATATTATTCATTCTGCAGGTTTACTGATTGCTCATATGTTCTAGGCATGTGCCAGGTTGAGTATCCGTCAACCTGTTCTGAAGATACAGCAGTAGAACCACAGGCCCAGTTTCTGATTTGTTATCATGTCTTTGTCTCTGGCAGAAAAGGTACTCATTAAATAATACAACAGCAATAAATGTAATGAGTACCGGTAGCAGGGGACCTTACCTGGTCTGGGTGGCATAGGGATCTATTCTTAAGAATCTAATATTTGGCCAGGTGCGGTGGCTCAAGCCTGTAATCCCAGCACTTTACTCCGTCAGGAGGCCAAGGCGGGTGGATCACAAGGTCAAGAGATCAAGACCATCCTGGTCAACATGGTCAAACCCCGTCTCTACTAAAAAATATACAAAAAATTAGCTGGGCATGGTGGCGCGTGCCTGTAATCCCAGCTACTCAGGAGGCTGAGGCAGGAGAATTGCCTGAACCCAGGAGGCAGAGGTTGCCGTGAGCCGAGATCGCGCCATTGCACTCCAGCCTGGGTAACAAGCGCAAAACTCCATCTCAAAAAAAAAAAAAAAAAAAAAAATCTAATATTTAATCTCCGACTCAAAGAATAAAGACTTATGTAGGTGAAAGCAGGGTATAGAAAAATGAAAAAGAAAAAGCTTGTATGCTTATATTTATTCATTCATTAATGTTATTTAGTATTTTTTTGAGTGCCTATTATGTGCCAGGATATGTGAATACAGCAAGAAAAGGACCAATCCTTGTCTGGGGTAGAGATACATTAAACAGATTATAAAAAAACAAAAAATGCAAAAGAGACTTCACTTTGTTTGGGGCAATAGAGAACATTCACTTGAGAAGAGAGATTTAAAAGTGGGACTGGAAGAATGAGTAGGAGCCAGCAAGGTTGAATGAGCTCAAGAAGGAGAGGGAAAAAACTATTACAAGCAGGAAGATGGAAAGGGTCAATGGAGGGCCCAGAAGTTTTCAAGGAATTGAAGATAACCAGTGCTGCTGGAATTAGGGAGAACAAGGTAAGAAGTAAGAGATGTGATTCATAGTCCAGCTGGGAATAGATAGATCACAAATGGCCATGTAAGTGATGATAAGGACTGTCAACTTTGTTCAAAGAGCAATAGAAAGCTACTGAAGCTGCTGATGGTTCAATCATCAGCATCTCGATAGAGAACAAACTTGCCTATAAATATTACCTTCCAGAAACTGGTCCAAAGCATGATTAGTATAACACACAACCAAGATGGGGAACTTCTGGGAGCTAATTTGCCAAACGGACTCGTTGGTCAGGAGGGCCTGAACAATTTTTAGACCCACATACGTTTTGCCTAGAAAATAAGGAAAAAGAAATTTAAAAATTTAGACATTTTCTAAATAAGGCAATTACTTGGAGCAAAATCTTATTTTTTTAAAAAAATTGATATATTAAGATGGTTTAAAATCTAAGAAGCATAAATGGTATATTGTGAAAAGTCCCTCTTGGACTTCTGTCACCCAGTTATCTGGGTGGAAGCAAACAATGTTACTAATTTCTTGTGTAACTTTACAGAGATAGTGTTTCTATGCATATACAAATAAATACAAATGTACATTCTTTTTCTAGCCTTCCTTTTTCTTAAATATGAATAGTAACAGACTATTTTCACCATTCTACATCTCGGCTTTTTTCACCTAATATATCTTGAAGGTAGTTCTCTATCAATATGTAGGAGAATCCCGACCCCACTCTCTTGTTTTCTTTCTTTCTTTTTTTTTTTTTTTTTTATTTGAGACGGAGTTTCACTGTTGTTGCCCAGGCTGGAGTGCAATGGCATGATCTCAGCTCACCGCAACCTCCGTCTCCTGGATTCAAGCAATTCTCCTGCCTCAGCCTCCCGAGTAGCTGGGACTACAGGCATGCACCACCATGCCCAGCTAAATTTTTTTGTATTTTTAGTAGAGACAGGGTTTCACTTTGTTGACCAGGACGGTCTCAATCTCTTGACCTCATGATCCACCCGCCTCGGCCTCCCAAAGTGCTGGGATTATAGGTGTGAGCCACTGCGCCCAGCCAACCTCTTGTTTTCTTTTTACAGCTGTAAGATATTTTTAAGCCAGTTTTCTATTGATGATATATATGTTGTTTCCAATCTTGTGGAAAATTCTTTAGAAATACTTTTTATATACATGGTAGATTTGCCTTTGTGACAGGAGGGGAAAACTTATAGAAATCAACATTGGAATAAGAGTTATGGGCTCAGTAGTAAATGGCTATTCATTAATTAGGCTACAAGCTGCTACATTTTTTTTTTTAAACAGTTTTGTTCTTGTTGCCCAGGATGGAGTGCAATGGTGTGGATCTCGGCTCACCACAACCTCTGCCTCCTGGTTCAAGCAATTCTCCTGCCTCAGCCTCCAGCGTAGCTGGGATTACAGGCATGTGCCACTATACCCTGCTAATTCTGTATTTTTAGTAAAGACAAGGTTTCTCCATGTTGGTCAGACTGGCCTCAAACTCCCGATGTCAGGTGATCTGCCCATCTTAGCCTCCCAAAGTGTTGGGACTACAGGCGTGAGCTACTATGCCCGGCGCCTAAGTTCTTTTTTTTTTTTTTTTTTTTTTGAGATGGAGTTTTGCTCTGTCACCAGATTGGAGTGCAGTGACTTGATCTTGGCTCACTGCAACCTCTGCCTCCTGGGTTCAAGTGATTCTCCTGCCTCAACCTCCCAAGTAGTTGGGACTACAGGTGCATGCCACCACACCTCTATAATTTTTGTATTAGTAGAGATGGAGTTTTACCATGTTGGCCAGATGGTCTTGATCTCTTGACCTCATCCACCCACCTCTACCTCCCAAAGTGTTGGCATTACAGACATGAGCCACCATGCCCAGCCTGCTAAATTCTTACATTGTTTCTTTCAGGCTGGTAAGGCAGACACTGTCCCCAAAAATCTCAAAGTTGAATGAGGGAGTAATATAAGATAATCAAAGATTTCAATATATCATGTTAAGTAACAATTTCTTCCTTCTTTTTTAAGGCCCTATGTTGCCCAGGCTGGACTGCTGCAGGGGCTATGTGTGCTGCAGTCTTGAACACCTGTCTTCAAGGGATCCTTCCACCTCAGTATCCCAAGTACTTGGGACTACTGGTACTCGTCAGGAAGCCCACCTTTACATAAAGATTTTGTTTTTTTAAATCATGAGTTGCCATTACATTAATCAGTGTTTTTTAAAGACTTCTTCCTTGCCGGGCACGGTGGCTCAAGCCTGTAATCCCAGCACTTTGGGAGGCCAAGGCAGGTGAATCAGGGGGTCAAGAGATCGAGACCATCCTGGTCAACATGGTGAAACCCCGTCTCTACTAAAAATACAAAAAATTAGCCGGGCATGGTGGCGGGTGCCTGTAATCCCAGCTACTCAGGAGGCTGAGGCAGGAGAATTGCCTGAACCCAGGAGGCGGAGGTTGTGGTGAGCCAAGATCATGCCATTGCACTCCAGCCTGGGTAACAAGAGTGAAACTCTGTCTCAAAAAAAAAAAAAAAGACTTCTTCCTGTTTGGGTTTTTTTTGGTACTTTTTTTTTTTTAATAAATTTACTCTCCTTTTGGGAGAGTAATTTAGCAGTAGCTATTTTAACTGTTAATGTAAATTCCTACTTCTTTTTTTTTTCTTCCTTCTGTTTTAAGGCCCTATGTTGCCCAGGCTGGACTGCTGCAGGGGCTATGTGTGCTGCAGTCTTGAACACCTGTCTTCAAGGGATCCTTCCACCTCAGTATCCCAAGTACTTGGGACTACTGGTACTACTTTGGGAGGCCGAGGCAGGTGAATCAGGGGGTCAAGAGATCGAGACCATCCTGGTCAACATGGTGAAACCCCGTTGAGTTTCACCATCTTGGCCAAGGTGGTCTTAAACTCCTGACTTCATGTTCCCCCTGCCCTGGCCTCCCAAAGTGCTGGGATTACAGGCATGAGCCACCGTGCCCGGCCTAAATTCCCCCTTCTAATAATAGTTATGACCCCAGAGTAGAATTAGAGAGCAGCACATGGGAAAAAGGGTGTAGGAAGGTACAGTTCCATGAGAAGTACAATGTGACAGATAGGAGTCAGGATTATATAGCTAGACTGCCTGAATTCATTTCCTAAACTTGTCACTTAACATCTGTGTGAACTTCAGTACATACTTCCCACCTCTTAAATAAGAGGCTATTTAACCCTTCTTTGCCTTAGCTTTTCTCATCTTTAAAACAGTTTTAGTAATGGTTTCTATTTCACAAGGTTGTTGTGAGGATACAATTAGTTAACATATGTAAAGCAAGTAAAATGGTGCTTTACACATAGTGCTATTACATATTTGATATTATTTAATTTAAAATAATATAAAACTGAACAAATTAATATAAAGCAGAGATAACACATCTCACTACATTTAACCTCTAGCAATCTTGTATCTATTACTATGCATGCCAATGGGTTCCTACTGGAAAATCCCTATGAGTAGCTCCTTTATAAATAATTTTTATGCCCATTTTGGGAGGAATGTTATAACTAGACATTCTATTGCAACAAAACCAAAAATTGATAAGTGGTACCTAATTAAACTAAAGAGCTTCCACACAGCAAAAGAAACTGTCAACAGAATAAACAGACAACCTACAGAATGAGAGAAAATATTTGCAAACTCTGCATACAGCAAAGGTTTAATATCTGGAATCTGTAAGGAACTTAACCCCATTAAAAAATGAGCAAAGGACATGAACAGATAATTCTCAAAAGAAGACAAACACATGGCCAACAAGCATATGAAAAAAATGCTCAACATCAACAGCACTGATCATTACAGAAGTACAAATCAAAATCACAATGAGATACCATCTCATACTAGAAGGACTGGCTATTACTAAAGAGTCAAAAAAAGTAACAGATGCTAGTGAGGTTGCAAAGAAAAGGGAAAGTTTATACACTGCTGGTGGGAATGTACATTAATTCAGCCACTGTGGAAAGCAGTTTGGAGATTTCTCAACCAACTTAAACTTAAAACAGAAATTTGACCTAGCAGTCCCATTATTGGGTATATAATAGGAAGGCATAGAAATCATTTTCCCATAAAGACACATGTATGTGCATATTCATCATAGCACTATTCACAATAGCAAAGATATGGACTCAACCTAGATGCCCAACAACGGTGGACTGAATAAAGAAAATGTGGCACATACATACCACGGAATACTATGCAGCTGTGAAAAAGAACAAAAATCATGTCCTTTGCAGCAAAGTGGATGGAGTTAGAGGCTATTATCCTAAGCAAATTAATGCAGGAACAGAAAACTAAATACCACATGTTCTCACTTATAAGTGGGAGATAACATTGAGTACACATGCACACAAAGAAGGGAACAGACACCAGGGCCTACTTCAGGGTAGAGTGGGATGAGGGTGAGAACCTAAAAACTACCTACTGGGCCGGGTGTGGTGGCTCATGCCTGTAATCCCAGCAATTTGGGAGGCTGAGGTGGGCAGATCACCTGAGGTCAGGAGTTCAAGATCAGCCTGGCTAACATGGTGAAACCCCATCTCTTCTAAAACCACAAAATTAGCTGGGTGTGGTGGCACATGCCTGTTAATCCCAGCTACTCAGGAGGCTGAGATAGGAAAATTGCTTGAACCCAGGAGGCAGAGGTTGCAGTGAGCCGGAATCGCACCATTGCACTCCAGCCTGGGTAACAAGAGCGAAACTCTGTCTCAAAAAAAAAAAAAAAAAAAAAAAAAAAAAACCAACCAACCAACCTACCTATCAGGTACTATGCTCATTACCTGGGTGACAAAATACTCTGTAAACCAAACCTCTGCAACACGCAATATACACATAACAAACCCACACATGTATCCCCAAACCTAAAATAAAAGTTGGAAAACAAACAATAAGACATTCTAGAAACCTAGAGCCAAGGTTTTGTCCCTTGCCTGTCTTACAGAGCAGATCTTATGTACTCTAAAAAATTTTGTCTTACCTGTTCCAGGAGGTCCTTGAATAATAGCCAGTTCCCTCGTGAGAGCAAACTGCAAGGCTTCCATCTGGGAGTCATCCAGCTTCAGGGCTTCTTTTGAGGGCCACTGGCTTGGATCTAAGACATTAATTCTGGGATGTCTCAAGCCCTCGAAATTTCTTAGAAATTCCCCAGTGGCTGAAGGATTCTCTATTAATGGGGTAAAGTCATATCTTCCCCCCATTAGCAAGTACCTTGGCTCCTTCACATGAGAGTCACACTCCACAATATTCCTCTGGAAGGGGACATCTTCTTCCTGGACCTCCTGGAGTCCTTCCAGGACGTGCCTGTAGGCCTCAAAGTATGCAGTTGTCTCCACCATGAGGAAAGAGTCAGAAGGCTGGACCTCTGCTAGCAGCTGTTGGCTCTGCTCATTGAAGCAGAGCTGGACAATTCCTCGGCAGAGATCTTCCTGCTCCCGGTTAGATACGGTGGCAAAAAGAAATGTCTCAAAGTTGTCCTTGGACATGCATACCAAAGACCCATAGAGCAATCGTTTGGAATTCTGCCAGCGAACAAACTTCAATGGTTTTGTGTCAAACTGTACCTTGTAGACTATGCCTGATGATGAACACATCGGGGTGATAATCCTGGTGTCAAAGTAGATTCGGATGTCATCAAACTTTCTCTTTCTCAAGCCCTGGTCTTCAAAGCTTTGGAGAAGTTCCAAAATGCCTTCCCGTAGAGGTCTGACAAAATCTTCTCGCAGGAGTCGGAAGTGGGTATCCAGATAGACAGCAGTGCTGTCATATTTTCCAGAAATGATGTTGGGGCGAAGAAAGGGCCTCTCATCCAAGTGCACTTCATTGTAGGTAGGGTAAATGGGCATGGTTCGGTAGCTCTCCACAAGGTCTTCTGCCTCAGGCTGCACTAGAGTGTAGGTGTCCACTCTCAAAGTGCCCTCTCGCCTCTTTTCCTGCAGATGTTCAATGATAGTCTGTATTTTTTCCAGGTTCTTTTCTGTCTCCTCTTCTATGTCAACACCGGAGGCTCTCAGAGCATTAAGAGAGGTTGGCAAGAGAGAAACCAGCATGGAAGTTTCTTGCACAGAGCTGGCAGGGAAGACACTTACAAGGTCCTGGAGGAGGGAGATGATGTTGCTTATGTGCTCTGGATACTGGTTTCGAATGTCAGGGATGGGTTCAGTGATCATCCCTACCACATAAGCAGGCAGGCAGACTTTGAGAAATTTGGAGTTTTTCAATATGCCCAGTACATGGAGAATACTCTGGCGATCCATTTTGGAGCTGCAAGCCTTCCGAAGAACCTGGCAGATGAGCTCAAGGAAGTTAGATTTCATGGAAGAATGAGAAAGAAGCTCTTTCAGCCCTAAACTTGTGGCAAGCGTGATGACCACCTCAGAAGGGTCTTTCTGCAGAAGACTTTCTAAGAACTTGTAGCCCAATTTCTTTGTCTGCTGTGGCTGCTCTGTAGGCTTCTGGTGGGGGGTCCGCCACTGCTGGAAGTTGTCATTGGACCACGGTGGTCTGCGGTTCCTACACTCCTGGTTGCCATTTCTCCACCTGGTGTCATTCTCTTGGTCATGTCTTTGGCCTCTAGCTTCGTCACTGGCATGCCCCTCCTGATTCCTCCTTCCTTGATGTATGGGCCTGCCCACGGCCCAAAATCTCTGTTCCCTCTGCCAGTAAGGAGGAGGATGGTTGTTGGCCCTAGGATGCCTTCCAGCATAGCTGGCTCCTCCTCGGAGAGCATTGGTTGGCGGGTTACTGGCCTGATTTCTAGCTCTTGGTGGTAACTCTCCATCCACAGGCCCTAAACACAATGAAATGTTAAGTAAGCACAAGAACCAAGTTCTGCTGAAAATTCAACAGAATAACTAAAGAGCTCAGGTTTTATATGATGAGAAAAAAGGTTTCTATCAAGTCATATAATAAATGAAAGATAATTATTATTGTCATAGAGGTTAGAAAATATTATTCTTACAAAGGACGCAAAAGGGAAAAGGAATAAACATTTGTCGAGTACCTGATATGTGTTAAAAGAACAAATACATACAGTATGTCTCACTGCTTCTAATCTCATGCCAGTACCAAGTTAACAGTCAGAACGTGGGTTTAAGGGCCAAAGTGACTTGGTTCAAATCTTGGCCTGGCCACTTCCTTACTATATAATCTTGACCAAGTTGTAAAATTTCTCTAAGTCTCAGTTTCTGGATTTTTACAAAGATTAAATGTTTATAAAGTGCTTAATATATCACTGAACACATTAAAAACTTTCAGTAAATGTTAGTTATTACTAGGAGCAGTAATTGGGAATATATTATTGATTCTAAGGGGTCCACTGGTTCTACCACTAAACAATTATCACAGCCAACAGAGACATTAAGTGAAATCAAATTATAACAGGAAGTATTACCCGAATGCTGTCCAGCATTAGCAAATGCAGTTTGAATGGGAAAGAGAAAGGTGGGCTTTCCTTTACCAAGATGTTTTTGAGCTAACAGACTATGAAAGAAACTGAAAAATGAAACTCCCAAGTTTTCCTCCTTTCCTCCAAGTTTTCCATGGATGAAGCATGACTTCATCCCTAAAGTACTTACAAATTACCAACCCTTTTAGAAAGCAGGAGGGGAAGAAAGGAGTGGTGAGAGCATACCCAGTACGCACGAGACAGTATCACTCTGTGGATGAAGCCAAACTAGTCTTCCTTGATCTGCCCCACATATCATAAATAACCTTGCACAACATACCCAAAGTCCAGTTTTTTTCACTTTCCTTCCTGCTAAAACTGATTCTAGGGCTGTCCCAACTTAGCAGAAAGATGTGGAGATTTTAAAAACAAATAAATGATGACTGCATGCAATGATTTGATAAAAAAGTTATAAAAGCTTTAAATGCATGTTATATTTGAGATGATCATATAATTTCCTGACATCAGATGCTAAATCCATTTATGTACACTTTTCCTTATTTTGCACTTTGTAGAGAAAATTTTAATATGACCACATAAAGGAATATCTGATAAACTATAAATGATGTACAACTGAACTTTAAATTTTTATAAATGTTAGTTATATATTTACTTTCAAACTAACCCCCAAATCAGAAAAAAGTACTACTTTCAATTTTTTTTTTTTTTGAGACAGAGTCTCACTTTATCCCCAGGCTGGAATGTAGTGGCGCGATCTCAGCTCACTGCAACCTCTCCACCTCCTGAGTAGCTGGTACTACAGGCATGTGACATCACGCCCAGGTAATTTTTGCATTTTTAGTAGAGATGGGCTTTCACTATGTTGGCCAAAATGATTCTTGATCTTCTGATCTCATGATCCACCTGCCTTGGCCTCCCAAAGTGCTGGGATTACAGGTATGAGCCACTGTGCCTGGCCTACTTTTAATATTTTTATCTGATTATAAAACTCTATGTCTTAGAAGAATGGAAAATTGTATCACTTCTTATCCTTTCAACATTCATGTCCATGCATGGTGGCTCATGCCTGTATTCCCAGCACTTCAGGAGGGCAAGGCAGGCAGATCACTTGAGCTCGGGAGTTTCAGACCAGTCTGGGCAACATGGCAAAACACCATCTCTACAGAAAATACAAAAATGAGCCAGACAGGATGGTGCATGCCTGTGGTCTTAGCTACATGGGAGGCTGAGGTGGGATAACTGAACCCAGGAGGTTGAGGTTGCAGTGAGCCAGGATTGTGCCACTGCACTCCAGTCTGGACAACAGAGCAAGACCCTGTCTCAAAACAAAAAAAAAAAAACCATTCGCACAACTCAAAAGACGCTACAGTTCTTCCTCATTTGTCCCACAGCTAAAAGTCTTTGAAAGACACATTGTAAACTTATGGAAAAACAGGAATCTATTTGGTTGTTTAGTTTTAGAAAGCTCTGAGTAAGCAGAATAATTCCTTTAGTAGAGTGATGCTCTTGGAACTAATTTGGCTTTGGTGAGTAGGACTCACAACCTGCAGTATCCAATACAAAGCCATCAGCCGCATGTAGATGCTATGGTTTGTGAAATGTAACTACTCTGAATTAAGACATATAAAACACACATGAGATTTTGAAGGCTAGTACAAAAGACTGCTAAGTATTACATTAAAAACTTTTATATTGATAATATCTTAAAATGAGTATTTTAGGGAAATAAAAGTATTATGTAAATTATTAAATTATTATAAACTAGATTTGATTATTATAGTCAAATAACACTGGTTATACTGGGTTAAATAAAACATTAAATTACTAAATTTTATTAAATTGTCATTAAATTTAAAAAATGAATTTCTAGGTCTATGACAGCCTTTAAGAAAAAAAAATAAAAATAAAAATAAAAAAATATGGCCAGGCGCAGTGGCTCACGCCTATAATCCCAGCACTTTGGGAGGCCAAGGCAGGTGGATCACAAGGTCAAGAGATCAAGACCATCCTGGTCAACAAGGTGAAACCCCGTCTCTACTAAAAATACAAAAAATTAGCTGGGCATGGTGGCGCGCACCTGTAGTCGTAGCTACTCGGGAGGCTGAGGCAGGAGAATTGCTTGAACCCAGAAGGCGGAGGTTGCGGTGAGCCGAGGTCGTGCTATTGCACTCACGTCTGGGTAACAACAGCGAAACTCCGTCTCAAAATAAATAAATAAAATAAAATAAAAATAAAAAAATAATAATTTTTTAAAAATTCAAGGCCAGGAGCAGTGGCTCACGCCTATAATCCTAGCACATTGGGAGGCTGAGGCAGGTGGATCACCTGAGGTCAGGAGTTCGAGACCAGCCTGGTCCAATATAATGAAACCCTGTCTCTACTTAAAAATACAAAAATTAGCTGGGCATGGTGGCAGATGCCTGTAATCCCAGCTACTCGAAAGGCTGAGGCAGGAGAATTGCTTGAAACTGGGAGGTGGAGTCTGCAGTGAGCTGAGATGGTGCCAGTGCACCTCAGCCTGGGCAACAGAGTGAGACTCCATTTCAAAATAAATGAATAAATTTCATCTGTTTCTTCTTACCTTTTAAAATGATGTTAGTAGACAATATAAAATTATACTCTTGGCTTACATTGTTTCTGTTAGATGCTGCTCTACACCAAGTGTTATTTCCCTTTCTGAAACTCTATCACTGTTTTTGTTAAAGCAAACTGCACCCATTCATCAACTCTCTCAGGAAAAGCGGAGGGTTGGCTGTTTTTCAGAGTAATTCATGCTGTAATTAAGAAGTCATTCTTTCTTTTTGAGACAAGGTCTCTTTCTGTCACCCAGGCTGGAGGGAAGATCACAGTCCAGGGCAATCTCTGCCCTCCGTACCCCACCTTCCTAGGGTTCAGGGGATCCTCCCACTTCAGCCTCCCAAGGAGCCTAAGTAGCTGGGACTATCAGCACACAGAACCACACCAGGTTAATTTTCCTATTTTTTGTAGAAACAGGCTATTGCCATGTTGCCCAGGCTGGTCTCAGTCTCCTGGGCTCAAGTAGATCCTCATGCCTCGGGCTCCAAAAGTGCCAGGATTATAGGCCTGAGCCACTGCATCCAGCCAGTCATACTTTACTTGAGAGATGCAGACAATCTTAGGTAGGGCCTGCTCATTCATAAGGAGGCTGATTTCCTTCTCATTAGGTAGGAAACCTTGCTTACCTCTGTGGTTGGTATGGGGATTCCTGGGCCTGGCATCCAGATGAGGTCTTCTCTCCTCCATGTCTGAGTCACCCAAATTCTTCCACGTTACTTTCTGTTATCTGGAAAACTGCACATGTTGAATTATCAGTGTCCTTGAAACACAGCATCTAGCAGGAAAAACCCAAACACCATCAAGCCAGTCCTTCGGCCTTTGTTAACATATTTTGTTAACTAAGGGTTAAATGCAGATTTTAATCTGGAGCACAAGTGCTCAACTCTGTGAATGCTCAATTATGATATAAAATATTAAATTCATAATTTATCTGATTTCAAGAGATCGAATTCCCCTTTCTTTTACCCTTGTAGTTTCTTGGGGCAGAGGAAATGTCATCATTTCCCATTCAAAACTGCTGTTTGGTTTATGCCTTTAGCCAAGTTACTTAATCAGTTGCTAGGTTTCATTTTCCTCTCCTAAGAGGCAGACAAATATTGTTGCCAGGGCAAAAAGGTTTTGCCAATGTTTTGTTAATCCAAAACCATGTACTCACCACCCTATCTGGCATTTATATAATATATCTGCCACTTATACAGTACCCAATAGGTTGCAGTATCCTATAGTTTATAAATAATTAGTGAGCAGTTATCCCCTTATCCTACTTTTTGGAATGGAGCCAAACGATTAAGCTCTCTGCTCTACTGAATCAAGAGAAAGAAATTACATGTTTCAATAATCAGGAGGCTGGGCAACTATGAGGTGCTATTTCCTCAGGACCAGCTAGAAATTGCAATTCTTTCTTCCTCTTCATTCTTCTACCTTGATGACTTTTGACACTGGTCCTACAAGAGGAAGAGGAAGCCCCTTTAAGGGAACTTCTCAACCCAACTCATACACATTGTGTGGGCTGGGGCTCAGGAAACAGTGGGTGACTCAGAATCCTCAGGAAAGGGATTTTTGAGACTGTCCTTACTGAATTTTAAAATATTCATACTTGGAAACTGTGACTACATTTAGCATTATATGATGGGCAGCTTTTTTTATTCTCATCAGAAAAAGGAGTCCCTTTTCTTCGTCCTGGGAATATTTCTCACGAGTCCCTTCCCTCACTTTATCAAACCCAGCCCTCCTGGCGCAGGCTCAGTATTTAGAATTTGTTTGTTTATTTTTAATTCTCCGAGGGGAAAATTCCTTCTTCCTCTTGTTGAAAAATATTAAAATAGAAACCCCAGAAAATTTAAAAGAAACTAAAAAAAGGAAAAAAAGAAATGTTAGAAAGAAAAGGCAAGGAAAGGAAGGGAGGAGCAGATAGGAACAGGAAATGCTGGGATCAAAAACAGACTGAAGTGTTTTTTTGGGGGGGAATCAAGGCCTAAAGGACAAGAAGAATATCGGTGATGGTCAAGATGGCCTGGGGTCAGAATGAGAGGGGCTGGTTATCACCAGGGTGGGACGCAGGAGGCTGAGGCCGGAGGCAGGGCTGGGTTTGGGGGAAGTCTCCAGGGTCCTGGATGAGTCCCTGACCCAGGGGGCCCACTTTCCCCGATGGAAATATGACGGGGTCCGGGAGCTCCAAGGCTGTGAGGTGGTGGGGTTATGGGGGCCTCCCAGAGAGGGTGGCAGCGAGAAGCTGGCGGTGCTGAGTGGGGTGCCAAGGTGCTTTGTAGAAGAGGGGGATGGATAAGGTGACAGAAGGTAAGGCCAGAGGGATGAGGGGGGGTTCGAGTGGCAAAAGGGAGGGCACAGAAAGGGGAGGGGGCAGAGGAGATAGAGGTGGTGAGGGCAGAGGCGGTGATGGTTTCGGGCGTGGTGGGGGGAGCAAAGGGCCAGCTGAGGGGACGGGGACGCTAAAGAGAGTCGAGGGGACGACAGGGCGCTGAGAAGGGCCAGGGGCTGAGTGGGTGATGGAAATCTGGGGTTGGGGGTCTGAGGGGGCGATAGGACGCTGAGAGGCGCTCTGAGTGGGTGATGGGGGCGCTGGGGGCTAAGGAGGCGACAAGGCTCTGAGTGATGGGGGTCGGGGGGCGACGGGACGCTGAGGGGCCAGGGGCCACTCTGAGCGGATGACGGGGGCGCTGGGGGCTTGAGAGGGTCACCGGGCTTCTGGGCAGAGGCAGTGGCAGGGGGCGCGGCGGGGCAGGGCAGGGACAGTTGCGGGGCCACTCACCCAGCTCCGGCGCGTCCACTCACTGCCGCCGGCGAGCGCTGGGGATTCGGCCCAGGCAGGTCGGTAGCCCCGCCCGACGCCGCGCACTTTCGGTTTCCGTTCCCCGCAGACCCTGGGCGGAGCCGGGCGGGCAGCCCAGAGAAGGAGGAGGAGGCGGGAGCCCCGGGTAGCAAGCGCGAGGGCCTGGCCAAGACACGGCCGGCGCGCCCGCCCTCGAGGCGGGCGTCACCTCAGCTACCCCCGAAGGCGGGGCAGGAGGGCTCAGGCGGGCGCGGCTGAGGTGAGCGGACCGTGGGAGGCGAGTTGACTGCGCCCAAGGTCTTTGCAGGCCTCAGCCGGCCCCGGAGGATGGGGGACCCAGCGAAGGGTGTAATGACTGTTAAGCGCGACATGGCGGCGAAGCAGATGAACCCGGGTGGCCCACAGTGCACAGGGAAGAGGGCGGGGCTAGACGCGGCCTTGATAACTACTAGAGCGCCTCGGGCTGTGCGGCTCGAGACTACATTTCCCAGGGGGCCTGGCGCAGAGCGGGCCGGAAAGAGAGCGCCTCCGATCCAGTGCGCAGGTGCAGGAGCCATATCTGGTTATATAAAGGAGGTACCAGGCGTAGTTCGTTCTTTCGCGTCTGCGGTGCTCTTAAAGTGTTGGTGCTGTGGGTTGCGGCCACGCTTCATACGCCATCGTCTTTCCCGTAGGTTCCTGTTTTTTGTGTGGTGAGTGGGAATTCCATGTTCTTAATCCGAAACTTCTGATCCTTCTTCTCCTTCTTTGTGCTGTCGCCTCTGCGGCCGATCCTGATCTCCCTCTCGTTGCTCCTCCAGCCCTGACCCCAAATAGGCCTTACAGGCGTGGGAGAGGCCGGGCACGGTGGCTCACACCTGTAATTCCAGCACTTTAGGAGGCCAAGGCGTGCGGATCAGGGGTCAGGAGTTCGAGACCAACCTGGCAAATATTGTGAAACCTAGTTTCTACTAAAAATAGAAAAAAAAAAAAACTGGTGGCAGGCACCTGTAATCCCAGCTACTCGGGAGGGTAAGGCAGGAGACTCACTTGAACCCGGGAGGCAGAGGTCAGAGGTTGCAGTGAACCGAGACTGCCATTACACTCCAGCCTGGGTGACAGAGCGAGACTCTCAAGTAAAAAAAAAAAAAAAAATGGTATGGGAGAAATGAGTTAGAACTGGAAAAGCTAATGCCTTCTGTACAGGCTTGAGAAGCCCTTGGCTGGTGTAAATGATGACTTTCCACTTTTTTCCCCATCAGATCGACAATGCTGACGTCTTAAAACATTTGGCCAGTTTGTTCTGACACACTAGCCTCAAAAGGCCCCGCCTTGTTCATTTCCAACCTTGGGAAGATCGCGGTGTACTCACTTTATTTGTTCGTTCACAGGTTAGAGCAGCCAGAGGGGACAATGGATTTTGGAGGAGGGGGTCACCACTGGGCCTCCAAGGAAACCACGTGCAGACATCTACAACCTTGGATCTCCTGAGTAAGCCTTAGTCTCCTGTGGGCCGATTGTAGAAAACACGTGCTTTGAGAACCTTTAGTTTCCTAGGTAAAACGTGGGATTTAACATATTAAAACACTTTCTATTGAGCACCTGTTTAGTATTTTAAAAACTGTTCTGAATGTTTTATTCTCGAAATTTACTTACTGGACCTATGTTTCTGGTGAAGAAATAGGTTTAGGAGGAATGCCTGAAGTGGAAGAACCTTGTGAGTGAAAAGGTATCTTAACATTTTAATGCCACTTAAGCATATTTTTGGATTCCATTCTACCTGTGTGCTTGGGCACTTAAATTTCCAAGTGGATGATATATTGGCATATTTTGGAAAGCCAAATGTGTTTTTCTGTTGAACTATCCAACCAATGTCCTACTGCATAACTATTTACTGCTAGAGTCCAGGAGTGAGGCATTTAACATCTGGACCACATGGAACACATTTGAAGCTTACTGTTCTAGACTTGTGTTAAAATGCAACCTCTTGGCACTTGCTCACTTAGCAACTCAGTAAACGCCAACTACTTCCTCAGCTTTATCAGCCACGCTGGCTTCTATCATGGGCCTATACTCAAACAGAATGTAGGCACCAGACAGGGGTGTTTGTTTTGGCTACTAAATTATTGCCAGCTGCAGGATAGAACACAGAAGTGCTCAAACATGCACATTGGCAGATAAGAAGCATACCAACCAACTCTAATTCCTCATTCAGGGCTTTCAAGTCTTACTACTTAAGAGCTTCCTGCTGGCATATATGATGACTGAACTTTTTTCCCCGACAGATCGACCATGTTGATCTAACTTATGTAAGCCAGTTTCTGTCTGATGTGCCAGCTTGAGCAGCTCTTCTGTCCCAGCTTCCCTGGGCATCTAGCTAACAGGAGCTCATTTTTCTGTTTTTTCATCTCAGGTTTGCTGTTGGCCAAAACCAGGCTTTGATTGGACCAGGATGAATCTGGGTGTGGGAAATAGAATATATGTATGTAATTGGTAAGTGGTGCCGACACATCTTGCTTGGCTGACTAGGCATAGGCTCTATGGAGGGGAGTGGTAGCTGCTTTTCAGTGTGGGTTCGTCACCCCACTTGTATGACTCAAATGTGGCCTTTGCAGCTGATGACAGCTTTTTTCCCCGTCAGATCGACCCTGTTGATCTCCACACTATTGGCCAGTTTTGTCTGATGCATTGGCCCCAGTGATAACTCCTATCTTTATTTTCTGCTTATCTTTATCAGAAACTGTTGCTTCTTCTTTATTAGAGTTGGGCTTACTCTTTTTTTCTACCATTCAGATAGCTTATTTTGACCTGTTAAATTTTTCTATAGGTTGAGCCACGTGTGCCAGTGTGTTGTCAGCTTGATCTTTGCTTGATTCATTCTGCCTTGTAACAGGTGAGGTTTCTGTTTTCTAGCTGTCATCCCCAGCCAAATTTGTCCAGTTGGGCCTAACTTCAGGACCCGTTTCCAAGTTGGATATAAAGCTGGGAGAGTAAGTCATTGGCCTGTTGGTACTAATAGGTCTTTGTTGGAAATAAGAGCTCGGAGTTGCAAATAAAAGCACTCCAAGAAAAGATTTCTCAGCAAGGCAAATCTGCTTCTGCCAGAGGGTGCTGCTTACACTCCTGGCCACAAGAGCATGCCGAACAAAGGGAAGGGGTTTTTACCATAAAAGCAACTAATCCCTGCTTCTGTGTCCTATCCCTATTGGAGTGGGACCGTGCAGTCTAACTAGTCCCGATTGGCTATTTTAAACAGTTGTAGGCTACAGCAGCAGAAAGGGCAGTTTCTGCAGGAAAGTGGCAAGTATTTACAGAGGGTTGCTAGGAGTGAGGGGGACTTTTCCAAATAAGGAACAGATGTAGGTTATAAGTTGGGATTGGTGGGAGACGTTTCACCGTTTTAGCCAGGATGGTCTTGATCTCCTGACCTCAGGTGATCCATCCACATCAGCCTTCCAAAGTGCTGGGACTGCAGGCATGAACCACTGTGCCTGGCCCCATCTTTTTACTTTACAGGTAACATTGGGGTGTTACAGGAAGACATACAGCATTCAGGGAGTCCATCCTGAATGAGACCTTCAACCACTGTATTTAAGCCTATTCTGCCCTCTGGGGAATGGGATATTGGTGGTTTTGTTTTTGTTTTTGTTTTTTTTTGAGATGGAGTTTCGCTTTTGTTACCCAGGCTGGAGTGCAATGGCGCCATCTCGGCTTACTGCAACCTCCGCCTCCTAGGTTCAGGCAATTCTCCTGCCTCAGCCTCCTGAGTAGCTGGGATTACAGGCATGCACCATCGTGCCCAGCTAATTTTTTGTATTTTGAGTAGAGACAGGGTTTCACCATATTGACCAGGATGGTCTCAATCTCTTGACCTCGTGATCCACCCGCCTCGGCCTCCCAAAGTGCTGGGATTACAGGCTTGAGCCACCGCGCCCTGCCGGGATATTGTTTTTTTCTTAGCATTTCCCCTGGGTTCCTTAACTGTGTATGGATTGGAGTGACTTGAAGTCTTCCTCAATTTCTTTTTTTCCTACCCATACATTGGGATGAACTATTTTTCTTCTGCAGTGGTAAGTAGATTTAATGAAGTGAGGAATCCCTTTGGGCCAACATGTAAGACAGCCCCTGACCTCCCTATTGTTCCGCTAAGGCCATAAGTGAGTGGCCTTCTCTCTTTCCCAATCAGAGCATGACCCACTCTTCTGCATGTGAAACATTTGTTTTCCCCTCTTTGACCTGCACTGTGACCTCCAGGTTTCATTTGCCTATTCCCTGTATATGGTTTAGTCACTGGTGGCCTAGAGGATTTATAAGTTTTGTTTCCTTGTGTCCCTCTTGCAGAGTTCCCTGTTATAAGGTGGACAGCATAATTTTTGCCCTTTGTTTCTGCTTCTCTTTGTCCCTTATGCTTTATGAATGTCTGTTTGTGTATGGGACGGTCTTTCCAATTTTCTATCTTAGGTAGTTTTTTTAGAGATGTCTGGCCAACTATTAGTAACAGCATCCCCTGCCCCAGTGGGTCTTGGGTCTCTAAACATGCTTATTTTCTTATCTGTTCTTTAAGCTTATTTAGGAATTCCATGGGTCCTTCTTCCTTCCTTATAGCTGTTGAATGCTTGGGAAATATTCTGTGTACCGAATCACGAATTCCCCTGTCATATCCCTAAGGTCTCATTTTCTCAGTGAGCTGCATTGTTACTGTCCCATTGGAGATCTTTGGCCAGGAATTTTTGTTCTGCAGCAGGAATATTTTGACCAGGAGGCTCTTCACGTTCTCATAGCAGCCCTATGGTTCTCAAGAGAATGCCTAAAATGGACATAAGCTTGGCCCAAGTATACAACTGGGATCCTAAAAGTTGATCAGTTTGATCTGCTACCTCATAAGGGTTTGAGTCCTTTTAGATTTTGGACTTGGTTAGGGGGGCATTTATGAAGCTGATGCCTCTTCCCTGAAACCAGTGCCTCCCTCCCCAAGGGGCACTTCCCTTGAGGGGAAGAGAGTTGGGGCTGATTCCTTGGAGATGGAGGGGAAAGGGAAGTTCAGAATATCCTTCTTACATTGTTCCTTTGTTGTATTTCATGCTCAAGTTACCCTGAGGGAGACACATGCTTGAGTATGTGGCTAAGGGAATGTGGGACATTGATTCGAGATTATATGGGGTAGGGACTGAGTAGGGGTGTCCTGTATGCCTGCTTGAGGCAGGGGATTTGATGGAGCCAGGTGGTCTACTGGGCCCCATGTTAGTAGGCTGTTTGGGGGTAGAGACCTTACTCCTTTCAGAGGAGTTGGCTTCTGGAGATTTCTTTGCTTTTCCTTTCTCTACATGCTCAAACTACCTACCCCACCGCCACTGGAGGTTTCTTACACTCTTCTCCTTTTGCTATTTCAGGTCCCTTTTAGCGTTGGTGTGTTGGTAAAAGCCCCAAGACAGGAATTCACCATTAGCTGTATGAGGTGACCACAGAACTGCAGATCCAGACTCAACACTCAATTGTGCATCTCATTCACACGCTCAACTCCAGAATGTCCCAGCCACCAAGAAAATACTTTATTGCCACCATGACTTTTCTTACCTTAGTCTGTGGAGAGTTACCTGGTCCCAGTGGTATGAGGATCCTTTCTGCTTGTGTTGTTGAGGGTGGGACCCAGTCTGTTTGTGAGGCCACCACAAGGTAGTAGTGGGATTCCTCTCCTCAAGAGAGGTGGTCACTGGCCCCTCCGGGTGGAGAATGGGAATCCTGGATGGGCCCCCAATTGGTTGGAAATGAGAGCTCGCAGTTGCAAAGAAAACAAGCACTCAAAAGATTTCTCAGCAAGGCAAATTTACTTCCGTCGAAGGTTGCTGCTCACTGGATAAGAGAAGGGGTTTTTATCCCTAAGGCAGCTAGTCCCTGCTTCTGTGTCCTATCCCCGTTGGATGGAGCACAATCTAAAGTAGTCCTGATTGGATAAGGAACAGATGTAGCTTACAGGTTAGGGTTGGCAGGAGAGGTTGTTTCCAGGGTAACTAGGAGCAGGATTATGTGCCTGTAATCCCAGCTACTCAGGAAGCTGAGGCAGGAGAATTGCCTGAACCCTGGAGGCGGAGGTTGTGGTGAGCCAAGATTGCGCCATTGCACTCCAACCTGGGTAACGAGCGAAACTCCATCTCAATAAAATAAAATCTTTTAAATCAAAATGCTATTGTGTTTGTCCATTGGAGATAACCATTGAACAGGGATAACAAGTAGCAGTTAGGTATTTGCAGTTTCATTTGGTTTTAGGTTTTTGAGGGGAGAATCACTGTAGTTGGGCAGTTGGTTTCTGCAGGCAAAGCAGGGCATTCCACAGGTGTTAAATGCCTCGTGATTGTCTTCTGCATTGGAAACCTAAGAATAAGCAAGCACACTTGGGCCAGAAGTTCAACTCCAGGTGCAGAGAAGCAGAGGGTATACTTAAACCTGCTCAAGGTTGTATGTGCTATCATGGGTATTAGACCTGTGGTTGTATGAGGTGAATAAGGGTGATTTGGGTTATGCTGTTTGTCTTTACAAACTTCATAGGAAATTGCAAAAACAGACCGCATCATTTTTCAATATGTGATGAATATTTTGGTTTTAGTACACAATTTTTTGAATGCCTTGAAATACCACCTCAGGGCCAGGTGCGGTGGCTCACACCTGTAATCCCAGCACTTTGGGAGGCCGAGGCAGGTGGATCACAAGGTCAAGAGATAGAGACCATCCTGGTCAACATGGTGAAACCCCGTCTGTACTTGAAATACAAAAAATTAGCTGGGCACGGTGGCGCGTGCCTGTGATCCCAGCTACTCGGGAAGCTGAGGCAGAATTGCCTGAACCCTGGAGGCGGAGGTTGCGGCAAGCCAAGATCGCACCATTGTACTCCAGCCTGGGTGACGAGCAAAACTCCGTCTCAAAAGAAAAAAGAAATGCCACCTCAAAGATGGGACTCTCAATTTCTAAAATGGCTCCTGGTATTGACTCAGAATCCCCTCCCCTTAACTAGTCTGGACGTCATGTAACTTCCGAGACTTGCTACCTCTTTTTCTCATTCTTGGCTTGCTCACTTTTATTTAAGCGGCCATGTTGGGAAAGGCCAATGTACCAAGCAACCGAGGGTGAGCCATTAGTGTGGGAGGAGTGAGCAACCATGTGAGTTTGTAAGCATGTTTTTCTGTGGAGGCATGATGACAACCACCCCAGAAAACCCCTTGAAAATGCCCGTGAGAAACTGGGCAGGACCCACCCAGACTCCTTGGATTCCTGACCTGTGGGAAATGTATTTCAAGCCACTAGGTTTTGAGGTAACTTGCTACAAAGCAGTAAATTCTGAATTCCATAATGAAATCCCACTCTAAAGGTGACCTGAGAGCATCTCTATTAACCTAAGTAAGTCTGCTGACGCTACTTCAGTTTCTCAGCACAGCATTCAAAGCTGTTGGCTGGCCAACAACCTACATCTTCAGACTTGTGCATTTGACTTAATATGTCCAAAGCTGAATGCCTGATGCTTTACTCCCCTAACCCCAGTCCCTGCAAATCTGCTTCCTACAATCTTCCCTTCCCAGGTATTGGCAACACCAGCAGTCCAGTTGGTCAGGAGCTGTGCAATCAACCTCATATATCATGTGAAACCCTTGGCTAATCCTATTGGTTCTGTCTTCAAAATACATCTGAAACCCACCCCCTCTTAGTGTCTTCATTGCTACCATCTTGGTCCAAACCATCATCAAACAGGCTTGGAATATGAGTCTCTACTTCAGCCTTTGCTCCTGTCATGAATTTAGAGGCAACCAGAGCAATCTGTCAAAACCTGAATTAGGTATGGAGTTCTCTGCTCAGTAGTCCCCAGTGTCTCCCCACCTCACAGGAAAAGCCAAAGTATCAGGTCCTATGTGATCTTCCTCTTCTCTTAACCTCTAGCTTCATCTCTTCCCTTTCAATCTGAGTCAGCCACATGGGCCCCCCCACTTCTCTATTCCTTTAGGATTACTCCAACCTCAGTATCTTAGCACTTGTTTTTCCCTCATCCTGGAATGACCTGTCCTAGACCCCCAGAGCTTTGCATGGCCCCCTCCCTTGTGTCATTCAGGTATTTGCCCACATTGCCCCTCTGGGGACCTATCTAGTCATCTTCCCCATCACTTTCTATTCCCTTATCTTGTTTTTTATTTATTTTTATTTTTGAGACAGAGTTTCGCTCTTGTTACCCAGGCTGGAGTGCAATGGCGCGATCTCAGCTCACTACAGCCTCTGCCTCCTGGGTTCAGGCAATTCTCCTGCCTCAGCCTCCTGCATAGCTGGGATTACAGGCATGCACCACCATGCCCAGCTAATTTTTGTATTTTTAGTAGAGATGGGGTTTCACCATGTTGACCAGGATGGTCTCGATCTCTTGACCTTGTGATCCACCCACCTCGGCCTCCCAAAGTGCTGGGATTACAGGCTTGAGCCACTGCACCCATCCTGATTTATTTTTTTTTAAATAGAGACAATCTACGTTGCTCAGGCCTGGGCTCAAGTGATCCTCCTTATTTGGCCTCCCAAAGTGCCGGGATTACAGGTGTAAGCCACCATGTTGGCCATGTTTTTTCTTCATATTACTTATTGCTTAACAAATATTGCCTGTGCATATACTATATACATGGCATGTGTATATACATATGTATATACATATATGTTTGGTTTTTTGTGTGTGTATATAGTCAGTCTGGCTCTTGTATTTGGTTTTTTGTTTGTTTGTTTGTTTTAATTTTGAGACTGAGTCTTGCTCTGTTGCCTGAGCTGGAGTGCAGTGGCGTGATCTGGGCTCACTGCAACCTTTGCCTCCCAGGTTCAAGCGATTCTTCTGCCTCAGCATCCTGAGTAACGGATTACAGGCATCTGCCACCGTGCTCCTTAATTTTTGTATTTTTAGTAGAGGTGGGGTTTCACTATGTTGGCCGGGTCTCAAACTCCTGACCTCAAGTGATCCACCCGCCTCAGCCTTCCAAAGTGCTGGGATTACAAGTGTGACCCACTGTGCCTGGCCTGGCACTTGTATTTGTAACTCTTGGCTTAATTGCAGCATGCTTAAAAGCAGTCTAATGGATACAGGAAGGATATAGTTTCTGACTCTTAAAAGTTCAAATCCTTTTGCTGGACTTCAGAGTTGAGATATCACTGAGGTCAGAAATGGCCCAAATACTTGCCAGCTAGGGGCCAGAGAAGCTCCCTGGAGAGCTCCCAGCCACACCCATAGTCTTGGCTTTGCTGTTGTTTCTCTGACCTCCAGAGGCAGTTGTAGGCCTCTAATGATGAAACCACTTGCAATCCATCTCTCTAGCTTCAGCTCCCGCCGAACATTTGATGCTTTAGTCTCATTTTACCTCTTTGTCTTGGCTGAAAGTTTCTTTCCTTCTATAAGCTTCAGTTTCCTCATCTGTAAAATGGGGTTTATTGGATGCTTGGCATGTGCTGATATTGTGCTATTATCTCATTTAATCTTTTTTTTTTTTTTTTTTTTGAGACGGAGTTTCGCTGTTGTTACCCAGTCTGGAGTGCAATGGCACGATCTAGGCTCACCAACCTCCGCCTTCTGGGTTCAAGCAATTCTCCTGCCTCAGCCTCCCAAGTAGCTGGGACTACAGGCATGCACCACCATACCCAGCTAATTTTTGTATTTTTTTAGTAGAGACAGGGTTTCACCTCGTTGACCAGGATGGTCTTGATCTCTTGACCTCATGCCTCCCAAAGTGCTGGGATTATAGGCGTGAGCCACCGCACCCGGCCTATCTCGTTTAATCTTTACCCCAACTCTGTTATTACCCTATTTTTTTAATTTGAGATGGAGTTTCGCTCTTGTTGCCCAGGCTGGAGTGCAGTGGCGTGATCTCAGCTCACTGCAACCTCCGCCTCCCTGGTTTAAGTGATTCTTCTGCTCAGCCTCCTGAGTATCTGGGATTACAGGCATGCACCACCATGCCCGGCTAATGTTTCGTATTTTTAGTAGACATGGGGTTTCTCCATGTTGGTCAAGCTGGTCTCGAACTCCTGACCTCGGGTGATCCGCCCACCTTGGCCTCCCAAAGTGCTGGGGTTACAGGCGTGAGCCACTATGCCCAGCTACCCTATTTTATAGATAGGAAAACTAGGTTCAGGGAGGTGTAGTGACTTCATATACCTTGAAGGTGGGATTTGAATTCTTGAAAGCTGGGATTTGAATCAGTGCTATCCTCGGCCCCTAATTTGCAAGGCCTTTGCTTAAGACCTTCACCAACTACATGGGTAAAAGCACAAGCATGGCTGGGCACCGCAGCTCATGCCTGTAATCCCAGCACTTTGGGAGTCTGGGGCAGGCAGAACACGAGGTCAAGAGATCAAGACCATCCCAGCCAGCATGGTGAAACTCCATCTCTACTAAAAATACAAAAATGAGCTGGGCGTGGTGGCACGCACCTGTAGTCCCAGCTACTCAGGAGGCTGAGTCAGGAGAATCGCTTGAACCCGGGAGGCAGAGGCTGCAGTGAGCCAAGATCACGCCACTGCACTCCAGCCTGGCGACACAGGGAGACTTTTGTTTCAAAAAAAAGCACAAGCATTTCTGGGAAGCTGCGCGAAACAAACAAGATTAACAATGTCTCCTAGAATTTTAGCTGAGAGGTGGTGACATTGTACCTCACTACTCATTTTCTGGGAACAGAGCAGTTTTACAAACAGTTTGAAGCTTGGGCTTAATCCCAGCTCGTGGCAGACAGCAGTAACTTCTGAAGATCTATCTATAAAGCGGGCATAACATGTCTGTCCTTCTGGAGTTGCTGTGAGGATCCAATGAGACAATGTGTCCTGTAAATGCTTGGCCGCAGGGTAGGTACTCAATCAGTAATAGCCATCTTCACCTGAGTGAAAAGAGATGAACTAGTGACTGCAAAACAACCTGGACAAACCCCAGAGACACGATGCTAAGTGAGGGGAAGCCAGCCTCAAATGGTTACATGCTGTGTGATTCCATTTATTTGACATTCTGGAAAAGACAAAGGCATGAAGATGGGGAACAGATGATGGTGCTGCCAGAAGTTAGGATGAGTGGCAGATGTGGATGTAGAAGGATCACACAGAGAAGTGTTTGATGTATCATTATTGCAGTATTGGTTACATGAATGTGTACATGTGTTAAGATTCATAGTACTGGGTCAGGCACAGTGGCTGAAGCCTGTAATCCCAGCACTTTGCGAGGCCAAAGCGGGTGGATTACCTGAGGTTAGGAGTTTGAGACCAGCCTGGCCAACATGGTGAAACCCCATCTCTACTAAAAATACAAAAATTAGCTGGATGTGGTGGCCAGCACCTGTAATCCCAGCTACTTGGGAGGCTGAGGCAGGAGAGTCACTTAAAGCTGGGAGGTGGAGGCTGGGCAACAGAGTCATTCATCTGAAAAAAGAGAAAACAAAAACATTAAAAGAACTGTACAGCAAAATAAAAGATAGTTTTGTTGTATGACAATTTTTATTGACTGATTGATTTTTGAGACAGGGTCCACTCTGTCACTCAGGCTGGAGTACAGTGGCGCAACCACAGCTCACTGCAGCCTCGACCTCCCAGGCTCAATCAATCCTCCCACCTCAGCCTTCTGAGCAGCTGGGACTACAGGTGTTTGCCACCACACTCAGTTAATTTTTAAATTTTTTGTAGAGCTGCGGGGTCTCACTATGTTGCTGGGGTTGACCTTGAACTCCTGGCCTCAAGCGATCCTCCTGCCTCACTCTCCCAAAGTGCTTTTTAAAAATGTTAAAAACGGCCTAAAAATGTTAAAAACAGCCAGGCACGGTGGCTTACGCCTGTAATCCCAGCACTTAGGAAGGCCGAGGCAGGTGGATCACGAGGTCAAGAGATCGAGACCATCCTGGTCAACAAGGTGAAACCCCGACTCTACTAAAAATACAAAAATTAGCTGGGCATGGTGGTGTGCACCTGTAGTCCCAGCTACTCAGGAGGCTGAGGCAGGAGAATTGCTTGAACCCAGAAGGCGGAGGTTGCGGTGAGCCGAGATCGTGCCATTGCACTCCAGCCTGGATAACAACAGCGAAACTCCGTCTCAAAAAAAAAAAAATGTTATAAACAACGTAGGTTATGAAGTTAGACTTGGGTTCAAATCCTAGTTCTGCTATGTATTAGCCATTGGCTCAATCTTCTTTTCTTTCCCTAGATATTGCCTGCCTGTATTCCTCTAGTAGTGGCAACAATTGCCAGAGAAGATGGAGCAGGTCCCCCCAGGACTTGCAACTCCAGCCTGTGTCTGCAGCGGGTGCTGTAGGTACTGATTTCTCCACCTCATGGTGAGAGGCCTTCCTCTTGGGCCTGGAAAGAGGGAAGTCCAAGTCTGTCTGGCAGAGGTGTTGCAGATGGGCAAGTTTTTCAGACACTGTCTAGCACTTCTGGGACTGCAGCAGTGGAGGCTGCAGAAGGCCAGTTCCCCAGGTGCGGGCTTCTGACACTATCACTTCCAGACTCCTCATACAACAAATGACCCCTAAACAGATTTATCCACAATCTCTCCATCCTAAGAAGTCAGTGATCAGTTTTCACTTTTGCATGTTCCCTTCTGTCCCCATTATTTTCCCATAGTGGGGCAGCTACTACCTGCATGGTTGGAGCTTCATATATATATATATTTATTTTATTATTTTTTTTTTTTAAGATGGGATTTCACCATGTTGGTCAGGCTGGTCTTGAACTCCCGACCTCAGGTTAGCTGCCCACCTTGGCTTCCAGAGTGCTTGGATTACAGGTGTAAGCTACCGTGCCCGGCCAAGCTTCCCATTTTTAAAGAGGCCAGAAATCCTAGTGCTTTATTTATTTATTTAAGAGACGGGGTCTCGCTATGTTGCCCAGGCTGGAGTGCAGTGGCTATTCACAGGCGCGATCCCACTACTGATCAGCACAGGAGTTTTGACCTGATCCGTTTCCGACCTGGGCCGGTTCACCCCTCCTTAGGCAACCTGGTGGTCCCCCGCTCCCAGGAGGTCACCATATTGATGCCGAACTTAGTGCGGACACCCGATCAGCATAGCGCACTGCAGCCCAGAACTCCTGGGCTCAAGCGATCCTCCCACCTCAGCCTCCCGAGTAGCTGGGACTACAGGCACGCGCCACCGCGCCCGGCCCTAGTTCTTTAAAATGTTGGCAGCCTGTTCCAGTTTTATAAACTGAAGACTGAGCAACACACATGCACATGGGCCTCATATGGTCTGGAGGCCACTAGTTGGAGATCTCTGTAGTTTGAGCTGTGTCTCTTTCAGCACTGTTCTTGTCATTCCTGAGCTGGGATGCCAGCTGAAACATAGAATGCTCAGTTAAATTTGAATTTCTTCTTTTCTTAGAGTCTTGCTTTGTCACCCAGGCTGGAGTGCAGTGGCACGATCTCAGGCCACTGCAACCTCCACCTCTGAGGTTCAAGTGATTCATATACCTCAGCCTCCCAAGTAGCTGGGATTATAGATGTGTACCACCACCCCCAGCTAATTTTTGTTAAATTTGAATTTCAGATAACAAGTAATTTTTTAGGGTAAGTATGCCCCATGCAATATTGGGGACATAGTAAAAAGTTACTTGTTGTTTACTTCAAATTCTAATTTAACTAGGAGTTGTATGTTTTTACTTTCTAAATTGCCCCATTCCCAGAACACCTGATTTGGGATGATGGCATTCATTTTTTTTTTTTTTTTTTTTTTTTTTTTCTTGAGATGGAGTTTCGCTCTTTTTGCCTGGGCTGGACTGCAATGGTGCAATCTTGGCTCACTGCAACCTCCACCTCCCAGGTTCAAGTGGTTCTCCTGCCTTAGTCTCCCAAGTAGCTGGGATTACAGGCGTCTGCCACCACACTAGGCTAATTTTTGTATTTTTAGTAGAGATGGGGTTTTTCCATGTTGGCCAGGCTGGTCTTGAACTCCTAACCTCACATGATCCACCCACCTTGCCTCCCAAAGTGCTGGGATTGTAGGCATGACCCATTCTGCCTGGCCAAGGGCATTCATTCTTTAAGATGCAGGCTCCGTGGACCTCATACCTTACTGATTTCCATATTCTTTGCTGACTTGGGTTTTTCCTGCAAAATTGAGGGAAACTGAGGTTTGTGTAGTTTCCTGATGGCTAGTTTCCCTGGCTTCAAAGCCTGGGTGAGTGGAATTGGCAGAGTCTGCGGCCAACCTGACCCATCCTCTGATCATAGTCCCCCATGGTCCTGATATTAATTAACCAGAGGTCTGTTTAGAAGGTGGCAGAAACAGACCATCTTGGGCTTATTTATATCTTTTTTTAAAAGAGAGAAAAGGAGAAATCTGGATTCTTTCCCTTGTCAGTCTCCTTTAACCAAATGGTCTTTTGCTAAAATAGACTGGCCTGACTGTATTGGTAGGAAGGGTTGAGATGGGAGTGGGCCAAGTGGGCAAGAACATTTTTTTTTTTTTGCCCTGATGTTAAAATTGCAGCAAATGCAATCTTCTGCCTCTGCCCAGGTTGACCTGATGTTTTTAGAAGCAGAGAGGCTGCTTGTTGAGTGTGGTGGTATTTATAATAGTGTACATTAGGCTGCCTCAAACATCCCTCACTGTCGTACCTTTTAGCCCACTCTAATGTACCTCTCAGTCTGATTTCTCCCTACTTGAGTTACAATAACAATAGCAACGACTGCCTTTTAAAAAGTTTCCTACCAGGCTTCATGGTAGGTACTTTACATGTTTTAGTTTTATTTATTTTTTGAGACAGAGTCTCACTCTGTCCCCCATGCTGGAGTGCAGTGGTGTGATCATGGCTCACTGCAGCCTTGAACTCCTGGGCTCAAGTGAGCCTCCTACCTCAGCCATAGCTGGGACCACAGTAGCTGAGACTACTACCGCACCCGGCTAATTTTTCTATTTTTTATAGAGACGATGTCTCCCTTTGTTCCCCAGGCTGATCTCTCCTGGGCTCAAGCAATCCTCTTGCCTCACTCTCCCAAGGTATTGGGATTGCGGGTGTGAGCCACCGTTCCTGACCTTATACATTTTAAATAATTTATTCCTCACCTCAAGTGAGTAACATCCCAATTTAACAGACAAGGAAACAGATTGGGCAGGGGAAGTGACTTGCCTCAGACACATAATAAATGGCTCTGCCAGTGTCTTCCTTAGTGCTTCCAGATCTCCTTGTCACTTTTGTCCTCTCTGCTCCTCTCTGCTCCTCTCTGTTCAGTGCTCCTGGAGCATGAACTGCATTAACAGTTCCTTGTCTGGTGGCCTCAAGGTTCCCTAGGAGGTAGGGAGGGTGAGTCTGAGATATGCATTCCCCTCAGGCACATTCCCCTCTGGCTGCCTTCCTCTGTCTAAGGCCACAGACCCTCAAGAGCTTCCCCAACTGACTTTCCAGGCTCTGATAGCTGCTGCTTGCCTGCCCCATCAGGTGTGGGGGGTGCTTTATGGGTCAACATTAGCTTATGTGGTTTCCTTATATCCTGTCCGCACCCTTGTTATTCTCAAATTATACTCTGATTGACCTATTCTGTATCCAGTGGGTTGTGACTATCTAGAGGCAGAGTTGGGATTTGAACCCCAGGACTTAAAATAAGCTCTGTGCAAACGGCTTCCCAGAGCTGCTTGCTGTTTTCTTCTGCCAGGCCCGGCATCTCCATTCTGGCATGGACCATGGTCTGCTGTCATTTCCACAGCAATTGCAAGAAATTGCCAAGTACATTTTTTGTGACCTCCAGGTGAATGACCCTGTTAAAAATGAAATAACAACAAAAGCAATTTTTTTTTTTTTTTTGAGATGGACTTTCACTCTTATTACCCAGGCTGGAGTGCAATGGCACTATCTCGGCTCACTGCAACCTCCGCCTCCTGGGTTCAGGCAATTCTCCTGCGTCAGCCTCCCGAGTAGCTGGGATTACAGGCGCGTGCCACCATGCCCAGCTAATTTTTGTATTTTTTGTAGAGACAGGGTTTCACCTTGTTGACCAGGATGGTCTTGATCTCTTGACCTCGTGATCCGCCCCCCTCGGCCTCCCAAAGTGCTGGGATTATAGGCGTGAGCCACCACGCCCAGCCGAAATTTCTTAATTAAAATTACAAAACAGAAAAAAAAAAATGTCACTCTTGGGGGAAGCTGGGTGAAAGGTACTGGATATTCTACATAGTATTTTTGCAGTTCTCTGTGAATCAATAGTTATTTCCAAATGTTAAAAAAGACTTTTTTTTGTTTTTCTTTCATTTTTTTACACTGTATAGAACTCAAAAAAACTTTATTACTAAAGCAGAAAAAAACAAGCAGAATATGTGGTTCACTGTCGAAGGAAGTACAGAAAGATAAAAATAAGAAAACATTGACACAACTCACTCTACTGTTGAACCTTATTTTGTTTTATATACTTCTAGGTTTTTGTTTTGTTTTGGTTTTTTGAGAGGAGTCTTGCTCTTATCACCCAGGCTGGAATGGAATGATGCTTTCTCAGTTCACTCTGCTTCCCAGGTTCAAGCAATCCTCCTGCCTCAGCCTCCCAAGTAGCTGGGACTACAGATGCCCACCACCACACCCAGCTAATTTTTGTAGTTTTAGTAGTGATGGGGTCTTGCCAAGTTGACCAGGCTGGTCTTGAACTCCTGACTTCAAGTGATCCACTTGCCTAGGCCTCCGAAAGTGCTGGGATTACAGGTGTGAGCCACCATGCCTGGCCTATAATGCTGTTTTGTAACTTCTGTCAGTTAACCATCTCCATTTTTTCACATCAATAATTTCCCATTTTTCCTCAAAAATCCTATACAACTGGCAGGGGATATATGTGACAGGAGGCCATTTGGTCCTTCAGGTTCTTCCAACCTAGCACCACCCTTTCTTCCCCTTTACCACAGGGGCTTGTCCTGGAGAATGCCACACCTTCTGGATTCATCTGAGTGTTGCCTCCTGGGGGTGTTATTTCATTTGTTGCATCTCCTATAAATTGGAGAGTCAATCTAAAGGCTTGATAAGATCAAGTCAAATATTTTGGCAAGAAAGCATCATAGGTGATGACGATGCTGTGCATATCAGGCAACATCACATATTTAGTGGACAAATAAAGTTGTATATATTTATTGTGTACTACATGATGTTTTGAAATATGTACACATTACGGAATGGCTAAATCAAGCTAAAGAAAATATGCATTACTTAACTTTTTTTTTTTTTTAAGAGACTGAGTTTTGCTCTTGTTGCTCAGGCTAGAGTGCAGTGACGAAATCTCAGCTCACTGCAACCTCCACCTCCCCAGTTAGGTTCAAGTGAGTCTCCTGCCTCAGCCTCCCAAGTAGCTGGGATTACAGGAATCCGCCTCCATGCCTGGGTAATTTTTTGTATTTAGTAGAGACAGGGTTTCACCATGTTGGTCAGGCTGGTTGAACTCCTGACCTCAGGTGATCCACCCGCCTTGGCTTCCCAGAGTGCTGGGATTACAGGCGTGACACTTCACATTTTTTTGCTATGAGAACACAAAATCCTTTGAGCAATTTTTAAGTACACAGTATCTTGTTATTGACTATAGTCACCATGATGTACAATAGAGCCCTTGAAATTATTCCTCCTCTTTAACTGGAATTTTGTACCCTTTGATCAATATCTCCTGAACACAATTTTTTCTGCTCTTCTCCATGACTATGACTTATATGTGTAGATGCTACATAGAAGTGACATCATGCAGCCTGGACAACAGAGTGAGTTTTTGGTTTTGTTTCTTTTTCTTTTTCTTTTTCTTTTTGAAACTGTCTCACTCTGTGGCCCAGGCATGATCTCAGCTCACCGCAGTTCTGCCTCCTGCACTCAGGTGATCCTCCCATTTCAGCCTCCTGAGTAGCTGGGATTACAGGTGTGCACCACCACACCCAGCTAATTGTTGTATATTTTGTAGAGATTGGTTTTGCCAAGTTGCCCAGGCTAGTCTTGAACTCCTGGGCTCACACAATCTGCCTGCCTCAGCCTCCCAAAGTGCTGGAATTTCAGGCATGAGCCACCATACTCAGCTGAGACTCTTTCTACAAAATAAAAAGTAATAAGAAAATTAGCCAGGCATGGTGGTTGCCTATAGGCCCAGCTCCTCAGGAGACTGAGATGGGAGGATAACTTGAACCCAAAAGGAAATAAAGTAGGGCCAGGTGTGGTGGCTCATGCCTATAATCCCAGTACTTTGAGAGGCCGAGGCAGGTGGATCACTTGAGGCCAGGAGTTCGAGACCAGTCTGGCCACTGTGGTGAAACCTCATCTCTACTAAAACTACAGAAATTAGCTGGTAACGCATTCCTGTAATCCCAGCTACTTGGGAGGCTGAGGTACGAGAATCACTTAAACCTGGGAGGCAGAGTTTGCAGTAAATCTAGATCACACCACTGTACCCCAGCCTGGGCATCAGAACAAGACCCTGTTTTTTTGTTTTTTTTTTTGAGACAGAGTTTCGCTGTTGTTACCCAGGCTGGAGTGCAATGGCGTGATCTCGGCTCACCGCAACCTCCACCTCCTGGGTTCAGGAAATTCTCCTGCCTCAGCCTCCTGAGTAGCTGGGACTACAGGTGCGCACCACCATGCCCAGCTAATTTTTGTATTTCTAATAGAGACGGGGTTTCACCTTGTTGACCAGGATGGTCTCAATCTCTTGACCTCGTGATCCACCCACCTCGGCCTCCCAAAGTGCTGGTGCTGGGATTATAGGCATGAGCCACCGCGCCCGGCTAAAAGATAGTTTCAAACAGCAAGAAGTGGTTTAAAAGGAAGGTAACGTGTGAGGAATGTGGAATCTTTTAGATCAGTGACGAGGGAAGATCCCTCTGAGGAGGTGACGTGTCAGATGAGACTTGAAAGATGTAGAGTCGTCAACCATGGGAAGATCTGAGGGAAGAGAATGTCAGGCAGCAGGAACAGAAAGAGCAAAGGCCCGTGGTAGAACAGAGCTGCCTCAAGAAAGAGAAAACACTGAAAATCATGATGGACTGTTCAAAGACAGAGAAAAGAGCGGTGGCTCACACCTGTAATCCCAGCACTTTGCGAGGCCAAGGTCAGGAGTTCAAGACCAGCCTGGCCAAGATGATGAAACCCTGTCTCTACTAAAAATACAAAAATCAGCCGGGCATGGTGGCGGGTGCTGGTAATCCCAGCTACTCAGGAGGCTGAGGCAGGGAATTGCTTGAACCTGGAAGGCTGAGTTTGCAGTGAGCTGAGATCATGCCACTGCACTCCAGCCTGGGTGACAGAAGACGACTCTACCTTAAAAAAAAAAAAAAAAAAAAAAAAGCCCGAGTGCAGTGGCTCACATCTGTAATCTCAGCACTTTGGGAGGCCGAGAGGGGTGGATCACGAGGTCAGGAGTTCAAGACCAACCTGGCCAATATGGTGAAACCCATCTCTTCAAAAAATACAAAAAACATTTAGCCGGGCATGGTGGCATGTAGTCCCAGCTACTCTGGAGGCTGAGGCAGGAGAATCCCTTGAAGCCAGGATGCAAAGGTTGCAGTGAGCCAAGATCATGCCACTGCACTCTGGCCTGGGCGACAGAGCAAGACCTCAAAAAAAAAAAAAGAAAGAGCTGAAGCACAGTGAAGGGAGAGATCATTGGCAGAGGCAGGGATCACTCACGATTTTATTCTGAGTGTGTTTTGATGTGGGAGGGCAAAGGGTTTCAAGCAGTGGAGTGAAGTGATCTGATTTCTGTGCTGGGAGAGCCCCTCTGGCTTTAGGTTCCTGGTGGAGATTGGACTCTGTTGGTGAAGGGCCAAACATGGATGCTGAGCTCTGGTGAGGCATCCAGCTGAGAGGTGATGTGTTGGCTCCAGGTGGTGGAAGTGAAGAGTAGTGGACCACAGTGGAGACTGTAGTCCACCACCTGGATTCCCCTTCGGGACAGAGACTACAGGATTCGCCTTCAGCCAAGGAGAACCACCTCGCCTAATATTGCCTCCTTCACAGGGGCAGCCTACCTCCAATATCGTAAGGACCCCATCTCATGGCCCTGATGTGGGCAACTCAGAAGGGCTGTCTCAGCGTCTGAGTTCTGGTGTGCCTGCATTCCAGCCCCAACATCCCCTGCGCCCCTCCCCCCTTCACCCTACCCACTTCACAGGTGCTGTGCGGGAGAGTGCTTCCTGGTAAATCGCCTGGGTGCCCAGCTCTCTTTCTGTTTCCCAGGGAACCCAACCAAAGACACTGATGGATCAGAAGAGCAGTACAAATAGAACGTGACACTCAGTGAGAAGTCCTTGCTCCACAGATGATGATGGTTCAGGGAAGGTCCCAGAGTCTCCAGCAGGTCACAGAACCTCTGGCAGAGCTGAGGTGACCCCAGCTCTCCTCTTCACAGCTCTGTTCCTCTTCCACCTGCAAACCAAGAGAGTCACAATGGAATGGCCCAAGGTCTACAAAAACCAGAAATGTGTCAGCAGGGCACATTTCTAAGAGAGGAAATTGCCACTCTTAGTGCTACGAGTCTTTGTGGCTTTGGTTGCAATTGCGTGGGAGTGTGCCTTTTAGTTTGACAGTGCGCTCTTTTTTTTTTTTTTTTTTTTTTTTTTGAGGCGGAGTTTCGCTCTTGTTACCCAGGCTGGAGTGCAATGGTGTGATCTCGGCTCACCGCAACCTCCGCCTCCCGGGTTCAGGTAATTCTCCTGCCTCAGCCTCCTGAGTAGCTGGGATTACAGGCACGCACCACCGTGCCCAGCTAACTTTTTGTATTTTTAGTAGAAACGGGGTTTCACCATGTTGACCAGGATGGTCTTGATCTCTTGACCTCGTGATCCACCCGCCTTGGCCTCCCAAAGTGCTGGGATTACAGGTGTGAGCCACCGCGCCCGGCCCGACAGTGTGCTCTTATAATTGGAGGATTAGGTCACTGGCATTCAAATCAGTCCCTCCCGAGAGACACTGCCAGTCTAGTTTCTGGTAAGCTTCAATTTCCCTGTCACTGCAGAGACCCAGCTTTACATACTGGTGAAACCTTGGCCAGGAACAGTGACCTGAAACAGTGAAACTGTTCTCCTATTCTAAATTTGAAACATTCAGCCCTCTGGGTCTGCAGCTATCTGCTTCTCACTTGCTGGCTTCTTGGGTCAGAGTGGGGCTGCTTTGATTTATTCACTCGCTCACTCAGTCATGTTATTCATCAGACATCTCTGATGTTGCTGACCAGGGGCTTAATATATAGACAGAGAGATGAAGATGACCCTGCCCTCAAATGGCTCATGCCCAGCTTGGGGAGACAGATGGTCTTCCTAATGTTTCACTATGAATAACTTATCTTTTTTGGGACCAGTTCAGAATGCTTTGAATGTCCCAAAGCAGAGTTTGCTATTCCCTAGGCAGTGCACAGCCAAGTTAGGTTCTTGAATAGGAGAGTGGCCTGATTAAAGGTGTACTTTAGGTTTGTTTATCTGGTTGCATATCCATTCATCCATCCACCCACCCACTCATCCATCCATCCATCTCATTTATCCACTCATCCATCCATTCATCTCATCCATCCAACTATCCATCCCATCTATCCCATTCATCGACCTATTGGTCCATCCATCCATTCATCTATCCATCTCATCCATCCATCCATTCGCCCTATCCATCCATCCCCACCCATCCATCCATCCATTCTATCCATCCTATTAATCCATCTATCCATCCATCCCATCCATTCATCTCTCAACTGTCCATCTATCCATCCATCCCATCCACTCACCCATTATCCATCTATCCATCCCATCACTCATCCATTCACCCATCCCAGCTATCTATTACCCATCCATCCATTCATCCATCCACCTCATCCATCCATTCATCTCAACTATCCATTGATTGCATCCATCCATGGTGAGGTTTCTTTTTTTTATATATATATAGAGACGGGGTTTCACCATGTTGGCCAGGATGGTCTCGATCTCTTGACCTGGTGATCCGCTCGCCTCAGCCTCCCAAAGTGCCACCGCACCCGGCCCTGTCCTTTCTGGAAAGTCCTACTGGGCGAAAAGGAAGCCCTTCCTGGGCTGCCTGCCCTCCGGGAGAAGCCGCGCCCCCTCAGGCTACAGGGCTCCGGGCGCCTGAGGACGCCCATTGCCGGCGCGCACCCGGAAGTCCCGAGCTCTGGCCCCGCCTTAGAAGCCCCCTCCATCGCCCCGCCCTGCCCCGCTCTACCGCCCCGCCTCTCCGCTCCACCGAGCCTGCGTAGTGGTCCGTCGGCGCCCGGCTACAGGGCGGCTGTTGCAGTTGGTCTGGCGCAGTGCGCGGCTCCCCTGGCTGCTGGGGTACTGGCTGCGTACGCGGTGAGGGAGTGGGGACGGGGAGGCGCCTTCTGGCTCCGGCTGGAGCCGGCGAGAGCGCGAACGAGCGACGGCAGAAACCGCGGGCCTGTGGACGGCGGCATCAGCGGCTAGCAGGTAAGGTCCGCGCGGGGCGAGCGTGGGTCGTGCAGGCCCGTGAGGGGGTGCGGGTTGCGGGCGGGCCAGGAATGCGGCGGCCTGGCCAGGGGCGCAGGTGAGCGAGGTCCGCGCGGGGGCCGGCGGAGCATTGACCGTTGAGCGCGGCCACACTGCACCCCGTGCCGGCCGGGCCGCGACGGGGACCCGGGCGGGGCAGGCCTGGGCCTCGGGGCGGGCACGCGCTCCTTGTTCGCCGGCCCGTACTCTTCCGTCACCCCATCTCCGCCGCCCCGCGCCAACATGGCCGCCATCCTTCTGTCCCCACTTCCTGGCCGCCTTAGGCCGCTTAGCGCGCGCTTTATTTTAAAGCAGAGCTGGGAGGCCCGCGGGCCGGGCGGTGGCGCAGCGCAGTTGAGCCCGGGTAGGGCGCGCTGCGCCAGATTGAGGGCGGGGAGGGGGAGAGTTGCCTAATCCCGGGGCGCGGGGAGGGGGGAATTGGGTCACCCCGGGGACGCGGGACTGCCCTCGGGCCACCCTTCCTAGGGTCGGGGGATGGCCGTGGTCCTGGCAAGCTGTGGGTTGCCGGAACGCCCACCGGGCGGTCCTCGCGCCGGCGCAGCCCCCTTCCTGATGCGCGTGGTGAAACTTGCGTGCTCTACAGAGAGCCAAGCACTTTTCTTCTCCTGAGTGCCCTTGGATGTATTCGTCTAGGAATGTATGTGTTGAAATTTTTTATTTATTTAATTTTTTTGAGACGGAGTTTTGCTCTTGTTACCCAGGCTGTAGTGCAATGGCGCGATCTCGGCTCACCGCAAACTCCGCCTCCTGGGTTGAGGCAATTCTTCTGCCTCAGCCTCGCGAGTAGCTGGGATTACAGGTGTGAGCCACCATGCCCAGCTAATTTTTTCAATTTTTAGTAGAGACGGGGGTTTCACCATGTTGACCAGGATGGTCTCGATCTCTTGACCTCGTGATCCACCCGCCTCGGCCTCCCAAAGTGCTGGGATTGCAGGCGTGAGCCAGGCGCCAGGCCGAATGTGTTGAAGATTGCAGTGTGGGACTGACTGCACATCCCCTCCGGTTTGCCTTTCTCCGGCATCTTACTGCATTGATTCTGCATTCTCGATTTTACAAAGGTTTTTTTTGAGTAATGGCTTCAGTAATGTCAACCCATACACATGTCAAAGTTTGTTTATGCAATTGTTTTTACATTTCTCTTTTTATTTGTAATTTTTGAATTAGATTTTGTGTTTTTGGAGAGATTTTCCTTACGTGGTGGAAGGGTTTTTAATCTTGGTAAATATGGATTATCACGTTCATCAGAAACCAATACCAGGAACATTTAAATGTTTTAAAGGCTTTCACTCTCCAGTGACTTGTGCGAAAGACGACTTTCATACTAAAACGGGAATACCTTTTTTTAATTGGAATTTTCTGGAAGGAATTCTGTGCAATCTGAAAAGATTGATGGAGGCTACAGTAATTGCTTTCTACATCGCTTTTGTTAAGCAGTGAAAATTAGGCGCACTTGGAGATTTCTACCTGGGCATACTGAGTTTTTGAACACCATTGAAGTGAAATTTTGGAAAGGGCAAGTGAAATGAGGCTTCTTCCAACCTCCCCCTACCCACCTCAGCTTGGTTAACAGGCAAACACCAAAATATTATTTAATAGCTGGTAATTTACAGAACGTTGGTATCAGATTTGATAATTATACATTAAGGTTGTACGATATGTGTATGTCAGAGTTATACGTAGTAGGTCGTACAGTCTTATGAAAAATACAGTTTCTTTATAATCTTCTGAGTAGCGAAATGACAATGGTTATGAATTGTCAAGACATTGGGGCCAGTATATGTCTTCAGTCATGTTTTTATGCCTGAAATCCAGGAAACAGTGTAAATGGATGTTTCCTGAAACCGCCATTGCAATGCCGTATGTTTGTTGGTCATTGGTGTCCTTACAGTATATCTCAGATAATGGTCTGTCTCCCTTACTTGTGAACTGAGGGGTCATGATATTGCTGCGGCTTGTCTGTGCCCCTCTCCATTTTGTGGGTAGTGTCTGTTTTCCAGTATTGCTCTGTTTTCCAGGCTGGAGTGCAGTGCTGCAATCTCTGCTTGCTGTAACCTCTGCCTCCCTAGTTCAAGCAGTTCTCCTGCCTCAACCTTTGGAGCATGCACCACTATGCTGGGCTAATTTTTGTATTTCTAGTATAGACAGGGTTTCACCATGTTGGCCAAGCTGGTCTGGAACCTGACCTCAGGTGATCCGCCTGCCTCACCCTCCCAAAGTTCTGGGGTTACAGGCCTAAGCTACCGTGCCTAGCCAAGATTTGTCATCTCTGTGTGCTGGTAACATTTCTAGCCTTTTCTTTTAGCTACTTAGAAATATACAGTATGGGCTGGGCGCAGTGGATCACGCCTGTAATCCCAGCACTTTGGGAGGCCGAGGCGGGTGGATCACGAGGTCAAGAGATTGAGATCATCCTGGTCAACATGGTGAAACCCCGTCTCTACTAAAAATACAAAAAATTAGCTGGGCACGGTGGCGCATGCCTGTAATCCCAGCTACTCAGGAGGCTGAGGCAGGAGAATTGCCTGAACCCAGGAGACAGAGGTTGCAGTGAGCTGAGATCACGCCATTGCACTCCAGCCTGGATAACAAGAGCGAAACTCCGTCTCAAAAAAAAAAAAAAGGAATATACACTATGTATTTGCTAACATATTGCAAATATGTTGCGCCATTGCACTCCAGCCTAACTATAGAAACATTAGAATTTACTGTTTCTAACTGTACATTTATACCCATTTTAACCAACCTCTCTTCCTCGCCCCATCCCTTCCCAGTCTCTGATACCTGTCATGGTATTCTCTGTTTCCAGGAGGTCAACTTTTTTTTGTTGTGGTTGTTGTTTTTAACTCCCACATGTCTGTGAGAATGTGTGATGTTTTTCTTTCTATGGCTGGCCTGGCTTATTTCACTTAACATAAGGACCTCCAGCTTCATCCGTGTTGCTGCAAACAACGCGCTTTCGCTTTGGTGTTTTTTTCTGGCTGAAGAGCATTCCATTTGTATATTTGCCACATTTTCCTTGCCTGCTCCTTGGTGGATACTTAGGTTGATTCCATATCTTTGCTGTTGTCAGTAGTGCTGTGATAAACATGTGAGTGTATGCTGATTTGATATACTGATTTCTTCTATGTTGGTTAAATAGCCAGTGGTGGGATTGCTGGATCCTGTAGTAGTTTTGTTTTTAGTGTTTTGAGAAATCTCCATACTGGTTTTCATCACGACGTTACTAATTTCCAGTCCCACCTCAGTGTGTAAGGGTTCCCTTTTCTCCGCATCATGTCAGCATCTGCTGTTTGTATTTTTGAGAATAGATATCCCTAACTGTGGTAAGGTGGTAGGTATCTGCTTAGTTTTGATTTGCACTTACCTAGGGAATACCGATGTCAGCATTTTTTAATGTATCAGTTGGCTATTTGTAGTTTTCGATGTCCTTCGCCCATTTTTTCGTGAGATTATTTGTCGTTTTTAATTGTCGGTTATTTGAGCTCATTACGGGTTCTGGATTTTAGTCCTTCGTCATGAATAGTTTGCACACAGTGGTTTCCCATTCAGCATGTTGTCTCTTTGCTCTGTCGTTTGTTTCTTTGCTGTGCAGAAGCTGATTGAAAGAGATGTATTGAGCACGGTGGCTCACGCCTGTAATCCCAGCACTTTGGGAGGCTGAGGGGGTGGATTGCCCGAGATGGGAGTTAGTGAGACCAGCCTGGCCAACGTAGTGAAACCCATGTTTACGAATGATACAGAAAAATTAGCTGGGTGGGATGGTGGCCATCTCCCAGGTTCAATCAGTTCCCCTGCCTCAGCCTCCCAAGTAGCTTCGACTACAGTGGCATACCACTATGCCTGGATAATTATTTTTTTCATTTTTTTTGGTAGGAGTTTTGCTCTTGCTGCCCACTCAGGCTGGGGGGAATGGCGCCATCTTGGCTCACGACAACCTCTGCCTCCCGGGTTCAAGTGATTATCCTGCCTCAGCCTCTGGAGCAGCTGGGATTAGCCCAGCTAATTCATTTTTATTGTTATTTTTGAGGTGGAGTTTTGCCATTGTTGCCCAGGCAGGAGTACAATGGTGCTATCCCGGCTCACTGCAACATACGCCTCCTGGGATCAAATCTGTGTCTGCATCGATTCCACACAAGAGTTCAGTCATCACATGGGAAGGGAATCATAGCTGTGGGGGGCTCCATGTGGGACCCCAAGTGCCCCTGAGGCCAGTCCCTGTGGCCACAGCAAGGAGCATCTGCTTCCGCCAGTTGGGCAAGAGTCTTTCCTGTCTAGACATGGGCAGAAGGACTTCCCCTGCTCCCCACCCACCGTCGTATCCCAAACACACCCGTGTGGATGGATGCCTCGACATCTCCCCTCAGCCCAGGGCCTGAGCTCTTCCTGATGAGGGTTTAGCAGGAGTGACCGCCTCTCCCCGGGTCCATGTTGCGGGCAGCTGCCTTCTCCTCAGCTCCCACGGGGCAGAACAAGAGCCAGCCAGCTCTCAACATCCCAGGATGTTCCAGGGATGCTGCTAACTAAAGCAGTCGGGGCCTTGTGAGTGAGCGGTGGGAGGGATCAGGGTTTCCTCGGCCTCTGTCAGTTCCTGGAGCATATGAAGGGGCAACCTACACCTGGAGGGACGAGTGGGGCTGGCCTGGCAGCCGTGGGTACCCAGTGCCTGGCATCTCCAGGTCCCTCTGCACTCCTTCACAGACCCCCTCCACTGAGTAGCACAGCCCTGAGGACAGAGGCAGCAGCCCGGAGAGCATTTCCAACAGAACTGTACTTATTGAGATTTACACAGGAGACTCCCAAGGTATTGCTCCCCTCCCTCCCACCCTTCCCTTTCCCACCCTTTCCCATCAAGCTAAGGCCCAGGAAGGTCAGCACTAGCAGAGAAGTCTTTGCTTTGAGGCATCTGATGCCCTGAGGGTCCGAGAGTTCAGTGCCCCACCCTTGGGGATTGTCACCAGAGAGCCTGCCCTGTCCTTCTACTGGCTACGATGCTGCTTTTTGTTCCTCTTAGAGAGCAAGGGGTCACCCTTTCTCTTTGGAGACTGTGAGGGGTTACCGGGCCCCCAAGCCGGGGATTGTGCCCCAGAGACTCTGAGTCCAGGCCTTAGGTGGGGCGTCTGAACAGCAGGGGATAGGCCTCTGCAGAGAGCTCCCTTCTTGGAGGTGGTGGTGGCGGGAAGCGGGAGCCGGTGCTGGTGCTGGGCTGAGGCCTCTTCTCTTTGCCCTTCCGGACTGAAGAGCTCCCTGGGGTCCCCGCCCTTCTGGACTGAGAAGGCCCGAGGCAGGGACAGGGCTCTGGGACAGCTTCCAGGGCCGCAGCCTGTAGTGGGTCCCCACGACAGAAACCATGCCAGGGATCTCCCTCTCCTCCCCACTTGACCGCTTACACAGCCTGCGTGACTCCTTGACAGGAGAGGCTCCAGGGAGACCCCAGGTGTCCTGGGTCCCCACGCCTGGGCAGGTGGGTCTCTGGTCCTGGGAGGAGAGTCTGGCCGAGCGGCCCTGAGCCTGCCAGAATCCAGCCTCTCCAAAAGCACCACCGGGTTTTTGGCCACCCCAATGCACACTCTGCCTTGTCCCTGAGGGTCCCGGGCAGCCGTCTGGGGTGGGCAGGTTTCCATGCTGACCCCTTGTTGGGGGCCAGGGACATCTCTCTCTGCTCCTCGGCCCGCTGCAGACTTGGAAGACATGGAGTCCAGCTGGGTGGTGGCATGACTAGGGGCTGCCCTCTTACGCCGTTCCTCCTCCAAGGATTGGAGGCGTTTCTCTGCTACCTGCAGGAGGAAACGGGCATTTTCTGGTGCTGCCCCACGTGTGAACAGGGCCCAGGGTGGTGGAGACCAAGGCACTTGGGCGGCAGACAGGGAAGCCTGAGGCAGCTGGGCTTCCTGTCAGAGACAGAGGGTGTGGCTCTGCCGGGCATCTTGCTGGGCCTCACTGCAGTTTGCATCCTGAGTCCCTCCCTGGCTCCTCTCCATCCTGCTCCGTCTGAACCTGCACCTCCCAACCTCAGAGCGGCCCCCCAAGAAGCCGAGCATCCCCCAGAGCCTTGGGGTAGGCAGTCAGGTGGGGCACCTGGGTTCCCCTCCCTCCCTGCTCTACCTGGGCAAGGGTGCGTCCTTCCTCCTGCTCAAGCTCCTGGCTTAGGGACCAAGAAATCCATCTGTGGGTCTGGGGAAAGCAGTTCCTCCAGGAATCGGGGGTGAATGACGGCCTCCACCTGGAAACAGAAGGAAGACGGCGTGGCGTGAGGTACCCGGGCAGGGAGTAAGGTGGAGCCAAGGACACCTGGAGGAGATGCAGAAAGCAGTGAGCGCCCCGTCCCAACCCTTCTGAAGCTGTGCTTATATCAGGGCAACCACCAGCTCCACACACAGACCACAGACCTGGTAGCCTACACACATGCAGACAGAGACACACAAAGGGCACACAGACACACAAACACACCCACATATGACACAGGAAAATAGACACAAGTAACATACACACTCTACACTCACACCCACACAGACACACTCACATGCACAGACCCTCAAATGGACGGCAACACACACAGCCATCTACTGCGGAGTTGCTAGGGAACAGAGCTTAATTCCAAAGACCTGCGAGTGCCACCCCCTGGAATCCTGCAGACCCCAGGCTTGAGGCCAGCCCACCTTGGTGACAAAGTCTCTCTGGGAACACAGATGGTCGACACAGCTCAGGACGCCTGGGTCTAGAAGCATCCCGTCCCCTTGCTGCTCCGCTTCGCCCTCTTCCCATTGTCCCTCGAGCTCCCCCGTGGCCCCAACGGGAGTCCCCAGCAGCTCCTCCATGATGTCCACATACTCCTGCACCACTTGAGGGGGTATCTCCTCGGGGGCCTTGGTCTCCGCCGGCTGCTGGGGCCTGGGTGGTGGCAGGTGGGCCTTGATCTCTGCTGGCCGCTGGGGCGTGTGTGGTGGCAGGCAGGCAGGCGGGGCCTTGGGGCCGGCCTTGCTGGGAAGGTCCACTGAGGCAGGGAGGGAGGAGGATGGGCATGATGAGGGCTGCTCCTCCTGCCTGCATCACACAGGGGAGGGCAGGGCTCAGGGACCTGAAGTGGGTCCGAGCTGTGTCAGGACCACCTGAACCACAGCGCCCCTGGAAGAGACGCCATAGGCGGGGCACTTGTGAGACAGCATCATTTTGGAGGAAGCTTGGAGTCACTGATAGACGCTGAGTACTCTACCCGCTCATCCCTGCTTCCTGGGCAGATTGTTGAGTTTTGGAATGGCGAGGGGAGAGAGTAGCTAGGAAACGTGACCAGGTGAATACCCACTTCATGACCATGGGCAGCCCAGCACTACCCCCCCCCCCCGCCCCCCGGCTCCCCTGAGCTGTCTTGTTGGAAGGAACAAATCCCTCTCTTGAAGGGAGGCATGGGGTGTGGGGACATTGGCCTCCCTTGGCCCCTCTGACCTTTGCTGTGGCTCCCGTAGGAATGTGGGAAGCCGTTACCTGGCTCCTTGACCACCTCAGGGGCTGACGGTCCCTGGGGTTCAAGGCTCGGCAGCGGCTGGAGGAGGCCGGCCCTGGGGCCCCTTCATCCACTGCGACTTCTGAATCTGCATCTCCTCCTCAGCCTCAAACTCCAGGAACCTGGGGTGAAGAAGGTGCAGGCCGTGCTGAGAGGGTCCAGGCCCCCTTCCCCCAGGACCATTCAGCAGCCGATGGCAGGGATGGAAGGCGTGCCTCGGGCATGCTGTCCGGGCCCTCCCTGGGCCCATCCCCCAGTCCCAGAAGGAACCGCTCCCAGAGTTCTGGGCTCTCCCTCCCTCACCCGGCCCCTACAGAGCCCATGGCATCCCCAGGGCTTTCTGAGTTAAGTGAGGGCTACAAGGCCCAGGAGGGCACCACGGGTTCCCCTCCTCCAGCCTTCAGCTGGCCAGGGGTGGGGTTTCTGGCAGAAGGCGTCCACGATGTTGCCCAGATGCAGGAGTCCTGAGGTTGGGACTGTGGGTCCCTGAAGGATAACCTGGGAAGATGAGGCCTGGGAGACCCCTGGTCGGGAGGAAGCAAAAGCTGGGCCCAAAAGACAGGGCCCCTTTCCCCTGAGGCTGAGGCTGCTGTCTTTGTGTCTTAAAGGAGGGGACTACGAGGAGCAAAAGCAGGCAGGCCAGAGATGGGTCTCAATGGTGTCCTGGACGCAGGTCTCCCCTGACCCAGCCCAGGTGTCTCCACTCCTGGCCAGGCTGGGATGGGTGAAAACCGACTTCTGGCCACTGCTGTCAGGAGAGTGCACCCCGCTCTGCCTATAGTTGCCAGAGCCCCTTCTCCCCATCCTCACAGCTGTCGGTGATCTCCTTTGGGCTGCTCCCTCCCTGACCCTTAGTGTCAGGCAGGGGTTGGCCCACCAGGGCAGGATAGAGACCCCAGAGCACTGTAGGAGAGAGGAGCAGCTTCGTGAGGGCGCCAGGGGCCCAGGAGGGCCTGTGTTTGTCCACACCCTTCTCATGCTCCACGCTGAAAAGTCACCACGGCCACCGAGCCTCTGTCACCCTCTCTCACCCTGCCGTGTGGGCTCTGCCCCTGCACCCCAGACTCACTTTGCCGCCATCTGGTAGAAGATCTTGCGTTCAGAGTTGCTCGTGTGCTGCCATTCCCGCATGGCCCACCGCAGTCCCTCCTCCATGGTCATGCTGGGCTTCCGCCGGGCCAGGGATCTGAGAACCGGGCTGTAAGGCGGTGCGGTCAGTCCCAGTCCGTGAGCCCACCCTCCATCCCAAGCCTACCTGGTCCCAACACCCGGTCCCTGTCCTGTTCTCCCCCACGTGGGTGGGATATGCCTCCCAAGATAAGTCATCAACACAAGCCACCGGCTGGCCTCTCCAACTGCCCCTCGAGTCCTCAGTGTTACCCTGTTGACAAGGGAACTCGGTACTACGGGTGGAACGTGAGTGTCCCCATCATTCCTGTGTTGAAACCCTAAGCCCCGGTGTTTCAGTGCTTGGAGTTCATCAGGGTTAGAGCAGGTCATGAGGGTGGGTTCCCATCATGGCATCTGAGCCCCGACAAGGGCAGGAGGAGACACCAGGGCTCTCCCTCTTGGCCGCAAGAGGACATCACAGCCAGAGGCAGCCCTCTGCATCCAGGGCACCAATGTGCTGTCGCCTTGATCTGGGACTTCCGGCCTCTGGAACAGGGAGACCTGAATGTGTCCCGGTAAAGCACCCAGTCTATAGGACTTGTTATGGTAGAGCCTGAACTGGCTGAGACAGCGCACACACAGAATGACCGGGGAGCGAGGGTTAACGTGCAGGTTCCAGGGCCCCAGGACTGAGGATTTAACCAGCTTCCTGGGGACTGTGGAGCAAGGCAGCAAGGCATCCCCTGGGGACGCAGCCTCAGGGTCCTGGAGAGGAGCAGAAACCAGAACCAAGGCAGAGCGGCATCGAAGCCCAGTCCACGCCAAGCCTGTGAGCCCGGGGCGACTCCACTCTGAGCATCAGGGTCCTCCAGTGCATCTGGACTGAGCTCCAAGGGAGAATGCAAGCAGTTCCAGGATGCAGTGCGGCAAGATTTTTTGGGACAGAGATGGGGACCTCCTTAACACCTACACCCTGGGCAGGGGACTTGGCTAGGGGACTGGCCAATGTGTTGCCTGGTGGGTGTGCTCAAGCTCCCGTGGAGTACGGGTTTGCTCATCGCGGGGACACGGGGTCATAGAGGCACTGCAGGATGGAGAGAGGGAGGACTGGGACTGAATCAACAAACTCTGAGATGCTGGCATTGCTGCCTCAGTCACCACAGTCCACGGCCCTGGGCTGCCGGGCTCGTGATGGTGCACTCAGAGCCATCACTGAAGCCAGTGGCTTTAGAGAGCGCTGTCCTAGATGGCCTAGTCCTGATAATGATAGTAATGGGGGGTGGGGGGTGGGCGGTAATCATAACAGTTGTCATGTGATGTGGTCACAGCACGTGCTGGGCACCGTGCTACATGTGTCATATGTGAGCTCAAGTCGTTTCTTCACCATCCTCTGAATGAAGAATCGTTGTCCCTTTTTCTAGAAGGGATCAAGGGCAAAGCTGCAGATACCTACCCAGTAAGAAAGGATTGGCTGGACTCATGGGACAGTGAGGGGCAGGTGAGGTGAGGCCCCCTGAGAGTGTGTCCTGAGCGGCAGCCAGATGAATGTTGCTAAAAGTGTGCCCTTTTGTAGCTCCACCCGTTGCCTTCCAGACCGCCCGGCAACATCCCCTGAAGAGCGTGACCTCCCGTCCATCCGGCAGCCTCTTTTATGGGTGAGCTGCAGGATGAGCTCCGGGGCGCCCGAGGACACTCACATGAAGAAACAGGAAAGCGCTTCGGTGTCCGGACTCTGGGGAAGGTGCCTCCGGGCCAGGGGCTTATAGCGCTGCCAGAGTCGGAAGTTCTCATACACGCTCTTGGGGTTGCGGGAGTCGTCCGGTTGGGCCTTGGCCTGGGAGGGAGCCTGGCTGCCCTCTCCGTGAGCCCCCTGTGGCCATGGACGAGCATTCCATGGGGCCATGATGGGGGCCAGCTGGGGAGCCGGTGGTGGTGCTGGAGGAGGAAGGCCCTGGGACCAGCCTCCCTCGCAGGCCTGGGTGCCCCCAACGATGTGGGCAGCCATAGCGGGCACCACAGGGGCAGCTGCCAGGGGTCGGGGAGGTGGACATGCGACGCCCTGACAGACGGCACCTGGAGCCTGCCAGACCAGGGGGGCCCCAGTTAGAACCAAGGTCTGTGCCCGAGGGGCGTTCACAGGCCCCACTGCTGTCATCATCTGGCCAAAGACATTGGAAGCCCCAGTCCAGTTTTGGCCGCGGCCATCCTGTCCTGCCACCAGGGGGGTCCTGGGGAGGGCGGACAGCACTGGAGGGCCGCCTGGAGGAACCACTACAGTCACGAGGGGCGGCCCGTGTGCTGGGCCGGGAACAGGTGTGGCGAAGGACAGAGCCGTGAACACTGGCACGGAGGCGCCAGGGTTCTCAGTCACACCCGGTTCCAGCACTGGGCATGCTGTGGAGACAAAGGAAAGAGGTGAATGAGCTGGGGTCTCCAGGTCTGCCCTAGTCACTGGGGAATTAGAGGGGTGTCCTTCAGCTGAGGGCGTGTGACAGGGAAACTCTGCAGCTTGCAAGTGTCCCCGAGTGTGCATCGCGTGCTCTGTTCCTTCTCCACAGGAGGGTCGCTTCACTACAGAGCCTGGCATTTAGCCAAGATTGCACCACTGCATTCTAGCCACGGTGACAGAGGAAGACTCCGTCTTGAAAAAGAAACGGTGAAAGAAAACCACTGGATGGAAATCTCTCCCAAGCCAGCACCCTGTGAACCCTGAAGATAACCCAGACGTATCACATCCAGCGTGCAAGTGATTGTTCTGGCACCATGCCCAGCAAGTGCCAAACCTGGGTCAGAGTCAGGCTGCACTTTACTCAGTGCTCAGTGGTCCTGGCTGCCAGTAGGGAAGCTCTGTTCCCAGGGAGCAGGTCTGAGAAGCAGTGGTGGAGTTCCCTGAGATACTGTCATCAGGTAGCCAGCAACAGCAGCAGCGACAGCGGCACACGGTGAGAGCACAGCCAGCAAGCGGTGAGCAGTGGGGCTGTCAGGGGAGGTGTCCAGGGATTTTCACAGCTGCTCGTCATGTTACAGTAGGTTGTTTGACAACTGAGCCCATCTCTGGTTTTTTTCCTTTGAGCTCCCAGTAACTCAATATAGTAACCAACCACAAACCAGAGGTTCTTGGGTCACAGGCCCAGTGTGGCAAAGTTGTCTGGAGCTCATCCCTGTTCACTAGGACCTCATGCAGTCTCCTAGTCAAGGGGGATAGGGATCAGTCAGGACACACATCCTAATTGAATAATAACAATAATAAGAGGACCCTCTTCCTATTTGTGCGGTACTCTCCTTCCTCGACTGAAAAGGAAACCAGTCTTATAGACCCTTGCACTGAGAATCAGCAAGAGTCCACACCTGTCCCCTGTTGATGAGGTAGTAGACATGGAATAGAAGCAAATTCTTCCTCTCCAGAGTAACACAAAGTGCAGAGGACAGGCCACGAGCTAGCAGACAAGAGGAAGTGGGTCTGAAGACCTGAGTTTCCCCAAAAGGACGAACAATTCAGAACAAGCTCGGAAGCCCAGGCCGTGTTGCCTGAACTTCCCCAACTGTTGCCACCCCTGTTAAAGCCAACAGTCACCTGAACTGACGGAGAAGCCTCCTCTGGGGAGGGAGCTAAGAGTCTGTGGCAGTTACAGTGGCCCCAGCCTCACCCACCCAGAGGCTGTCACCGCATGCTGTGTCACAGCCAACACACCCAACGGTTTTCTGGCTGAGACCACTTTTCCCCACTCCTTCCTGAGATCCAGAAAACTCCAGTCCAAATCCCTCTGAACACTATGGAAGGACACCTTCCAGGTGCCTGAAGACACAACACAGGGCTCACAGGCTTTCTTGTCATTCTCCCTGGGCCACCAGCACAACATGATCCCAGATCCCACCACTCCCTACAAACACACGGTGACGTGACCTGTCTGTCCCCCTCTAGAGAGAATCAGTACATCCACTTTATCCTTTCCCCTACATGGTGTATTCCCCCAGGCATCTTGGTCCACCTCCAAGAAGCCGTCCTCCCTAAGTACAGACTCGGTTCCACGGCCCTCCCCAGGTGTGGTGTCTTTGGGAACATCCAGATTTCCCTTCCTCCTCGACACTAGCCCTACCAACTGTCTTCTGGGGCTGTGTGAAATTTGAATTCTTAAGGATTTGAAACATGGCAGAGACTTGGATGATGCCCCTGTCCCTACAGACTCACCTCCATTTGAAGCCATCCCCTCAGACTATCTGACAGTTTCCACAATGCGAAGTCAAGGGCAGGACCCAGAGAGTGACCTGCCTCAACAGACTCTCCTGAGTTCAGGTAGATCGGTGAAAATCTGAAAGTGAGTAGGTTTAGAACATAGGACCCCAGACATTCTGCAGAGGGGGAGGGGCAGTGCAGCAGGTACCGGTAGGGGCGGGGGACATTCTGTGAAGGGCTCCAGCCGGTAGGCAAGAACTGAGGTTTCCTTCCAGCCGGAGGGCAGCAGCGCAGACTCTGTGCGCCTCTTTACGCAAATTTTAAGTTGTCCCTCTGTCTCACGGTACAAAGCTTCAACCTGATGTCCGCTTCCATCCTTTGTCAGGGAGACCTACTTTTGTGTCCCTGAACCCATGCTCCTTCCACTTGGGCTCTTTCCCACTCCCGATGAATCTCAACAGGGGCTACACGTCTTACACACAATTTAGCACACTTCCTAAGAACCCTCGTGTTTGTCAGACGATTCACGTCTGGACCCTCTGCCTGCTTCAGGCAGAAACCCTTTACTAGAAAGCCTCAGTCTGGCAAAGAGTGGCTGTGCGGCCAGAAAGCCTTTCATTTTGTTTCCCAGCATATTGTGCTGGTATTAAATGATTATTTTTTAATCTTTTAAGTGATTTTAATTTAACCAAGCAATACTTTTGCATGGTTCCAAATTCAAATTGTGCACAGTGGAATAGGCAGTGACCAGTCTTTCTCCCACTTTTTTCCTCTCCACAACATTTATTTTTCCTGTAACAAACGAGTGTTCTGATTCTTTTTCATCTTTCCAGAGGTGTATCATACAAACAAAAGGATAAGGAAGCTATTTTTGTTGTCTGCAAATGCTTTCGGGTTTTTTCGGTGAAAGATATGTATATATGTATATATTTGTTTTTGAGACTGAGTTTCGCTGTTGTTACCCAGGCTGGAGTGCAATGGCGCGATCTCGGCTCGCCGCAACCTCCGCTCCTGGGTTCACGCAATTCTCCTGCCTCGGCCTCCCTAGTAGCTGGGACCACAGGTGCACATCAGCATGCCCACGGTATTTTTTGTATTTTTAGTAGAGACGGCGTTTCACCTTGTTGACCAGGAGGATGGTCTCGATCTCTTGACCTCGTGATCTACCTGCCTCGGCATCCCAGAGTGCTGGGACTACAGGCTTAAGCCACCGCGCCCGGCCCAATCTAATCTCTTTCATATTCCTACCTCTTCCATTCAGAGAAGAATTGATTGATACGAAAACAGAGAGTGCGTTATCTCTGATGCAGTCTGTGATTGAACTTTGAATGAGTGATCAGAGACTGCAAAACTATTCCCATAAATGTTTGAAATTTCACTTCTATGTTACATGGCACTGACCTAAACATTTAAGTCTTTGGGGTGTTTTCTTAATATAGAGAGCTTCCAGCAATGGCCTTTTTTCTTTTCTGCAGTGAGGGTGTGAATGACTTGGTACTAGGCCAGCCTGACTAGTCTAGAGCTTGAGGTTCAAATAAACATTTAATACTCATTTTTCTGCAGTATAGAGGACTGGCTGCTGAGTGACCTTTCCCCTCCCTTTTCCTCCTAGTATCCTTTGAAAGAAATTGTGGTTATCCATCAAGATCCAGAAGCTCTTAAAGATGTCAAGTCTTTGGAGAAGTATGTCACTGAGGTAAGATGGATGACTTGTCTGTTTTGGGTACAAAGAGACTTCCCTTGAGAACATTATTTTGGTGAATAATCTTCAATAAAGTACACATTGACTGTATAATTTATTTTATTAGTATATTCATTACCAATTTAACAATATGTGATATTTTACACTGTTCGTGGAATCAACATAAATTTGATGTAATTCTTTTAAAAATATTTCAGGATCAGTGAATTTTTTGCCCTATCACCTATCATCTTCATTCACATCTTTTCCCTGAAGAACTTTTCTTTTCTTTTTGGAGGCAGAGTCTCTCACTCTGTCAACCAGGCTGAAGTGTAGTGGTGCATTATCACAACCCCTGCCTCCTAGGTTTAAGCAATTCTGCTGCCTGAGCCTCCCGAATAGCTGGGATTACAGGCATGTGCCATCACACCCAGCTAATATTTTGTATTTTTAGTAGAGATTTTGTTTCATCATCATGGACAGACTAGTCTTGACCTCCTGACCTCAGGTGATCCACCCCTCTGCATCCAGCCCTCACTTGCTTTAAATTAAAGTCTTTAACCAAACGAGGAAAAGTGAACCCAGGTTGGTGGGATGAGCCCATTCCTAGCTCCAGAGATAAGCACTTGGCCAATTAGAGCTCAGCGTCTGCTGGCAACGGGGATTGGTACCAGATGGGATGTGACCCAAGCGAGGCACATGGGCCTCTTCCCAGGAGCTCTAGGTGTGCAGGGAAGGGGCTATATTTGTTTGCTGGAACAGCCATAGCAAAAGACCATAGACTGTGGCTTAGGCAGCACAGTTATTTTCTCACAGTGCTGGAGGCTGGAAGTCTCAGCTCGCCGTGCAGGCTGACAGGGTTGGTTTCCATCAGGGCCTGTCTCCTTGGTCTGCGGATGGCAGTCCTCTTCCTGCCTCTGCACGCGATCATCCCTCTCTGCGTGAGCGCTCCTGGGGTCTGTCTCACTCAAGCTGTTAAAAATCAGTGAGCAAAAATTCATTTTGCTACTTTGATTGATAATGTCAGCATGAGGAAGCAAGTTCATATAGTTCAGGTCAGGAGCACGGAGAGCACTGTTTTTAGTCCTCAAACGAATAACGTTCTAGGTAAAACAATTACCCTGTAACACACAGACGATTGATTTCCCACATCTCTTCCTAGGCTTCCTTATCCTGAGTTCTTTGGCTGGAGTGAGTGGCTTAACAGTGGAACAGTTTCAGAAAATCAAGGGCTTTCCTAATGCTTTCTGAGGTTGGGGTGGAGAAGATGACGACCTCTGGAACAGGTACCTCTGTGCTGTTTTTGGGGTCTTCTAGAAATGCTACCTTAGACTGCAGACCCATGCTATCGGATAGGAATATGATGCAAACCATGTGTGTAATTTAAAATGTTCTAGTAGCTATAGTTTAAAAAGTTAAGGAAAAAAAAATGAAATTGAACAGATGTAGTGGCTCACACTTGTAATCCCAGCACTTTGGGAGGCCGAGGTGGGAGGATCATTTGGGCCTAGGAGTTTGAGGCCACATTGAGCTATGATTATTCCACTACACTCTAGCTTGGGTGACAGATTGAGACCTGTCTTAAAAATTACACACATGAACAACACAGCGGGCGGCGGCGACCACGGTGGCCCAGGAATCCCGACCGCGTAACTAGGGCACCTCCCCGATCCCGGCAGCTGGGAGACCGCAGCCCACAGGGAACTCCCGTCTCCAACCCTCATAACTCAGTCACCGCTGCCGGCCTCACGGCCGCGAGACCCCACCTCTCCACACCCGTAACTCGGGAACCTACCTCATCACGTCCAGTAGCCACGAGACCCCACTGGTGGACAAGAAACTCCCTCCCCCCCCAGACTCCAGAGCTCCTAACTCCGGCACGCCGCCGGCCTTACAGCCCCGAGATCTACACCCCGACGGAGCCCCTGCCCCCGCTCCGCCGAATGCAGCCCCGGACCCCCTTCCTCACTCTACAACACTCCGCGGCATATCCCGCCGCTCACACTCCCCATCCGCGGCTGGCAGACTGTTACTCAGGAGAGCGGGCTCGCGACCGGGGACATGCACAGTGCTCAAGAGAGGATCGTCGCGGACCTAACAGGTGTCATGGCTGCCCCAAGAGTCTAGTTAAAAGTTTGCTCCCGTGGGGCGGAGGGTCCAAGGCCCACACCAGGAGACCTAGCGAGGTAAAGTTGTCCCTTGGTTGTGGATACCACAGCTTCTCCGTTTCCTCGGCGATGGCGGCGTCCGGGAGCGGTATGGCCCAGAAAACCTGGGAATTGGCCAACAACATGCAGGAAGCTCAGAGTATCGATGAAATCTAGCAGGAAGAAATCCTGGCGGCGAAGCCCTGGACTAAGGATCACCATTACTTTAAGTACTGCAAAATCTCAGCATTGGCTCTACTGAAGATGGTGATGCACGCCAGATCAGGAGGCAACTTAGAAGTGATGGGTCTGATGCTAGGAAAGGTGGATGGTGAAACCATGATCATTGTGGACAGTTTTGCTTTGCCTGTGGAGGGCACTGAAACCCGAGTAAATGCACAGGCTGCTGCATATGAGTACATGGCCGCATATATAGAAAACGCTAAACAGGTTGGTCGCCTTGAAAATGCAATTGGGTGGTATCATAGCCACCCTGGCTATGGCTGCTGGCTTTCTGGGATTGATGTTAGTACTCAGATGCTCAATCAGCAGTTCCAGGAACCATTTGTAGCAGTGGTGATTGATCCAACAAGAACGATATCTGCAGGGAAAGTGAATCTTGGCGCCTTTAGGACATACCCAAAGGGCTACAAACCTCCTGATGAAGGACCTTCTGAGTACCAGACTATCCCACTTAATAAAATAGAAGACTTTGGTGTACACTGCAAACAATATTATGCCTTAGAGGTCTCATATTTCAAATCCTCTTTGGATCGAAAATTGCTCGAGCTGTTGTTGAATAAATACTGGGTGAATACATTGAGTTCCTCTAGCTTGCTTACTAATGCAGACTATACCACTGGTCAGGTATTTGATTTGTCTGAAAAGTTAGAGCAGTCAGAAGCCCAGCTGGGACGAGGGAGTTTCATGTTGGGTTTAGAAACGCATGACCGAAAATCAGAAGACAAACTTGCCAAAGCTACGAGAGACAGCTGTAAAACTACCATAGAAGCTATCCATGGATTGATGTCTCAGGTTATTAAGGATAAACTGTTTAATCAAATTAACATCTCTTAAATGGTCTCTGAGAAGTATTTTTGCCTGAGAGACAGTATGAGAAAACCATTCAAGTAACACTTTAAAAGCAGTTACCCAAAATCTGATTAGAAGTATAAGGTGCTCCGAATTGTCCTAAATATTAACATCCTGTAATAAAACTCTTTAAAATGAAAAAAAAAAAAAAAAAAATTACACACATACAAATTACAAGTTTTTTTAAAAAAATCTTAATTTAGCCGGGTGCAGTGGCTCAAGCTTGTAATCATAGCACTTTGGGAGGCTGAAGTGGGTGGATCATGAGGTCAAGAGATCGAGACCATTCTGGTCAACAAGGTGAAACCCCATCTCTACTAAAAATACAAAAAATTAGATGGGCACGGTGGCATGTGCTTGTAATCCCAGGTACTCAGGAGGCTGAGGCAGGAGAATTGGCTGAACCCAGGAGGTGGAGGTTGCCGTGAGCGGAGATCGTGCCGTTGCACTCTAGCCTGGGTAAGAAGAGCAAAACTCCATCTCAAAAAACACAAGAAAGAAAGAAAGAAATCTTAATTTAAAAATATCTTAATATCTGAAAAAACAAGCTGTATATCCCACCAAAGCAGCTATTTTCTTTTTTCTTTCTTGACATGGGAAAATAAACTTGCAATATAATTTAGAAGTTTTTTGTTTTTGTTTTTGTTTTGTGTTTTGAGATGGAGTTTCACTCTTGTTACCCAGGCTGGAGTGCAATGGCACGATCTCGGCTCACTGCAACCTCCGCCTCCTGGGTTCAGGCAATTCTCCTGCCTCAGCCTCCTGAGTAGCTGTGATTACAGGCACAAGCCATCATGCCCAGCTAATTTTTTGTATTTTTGGTAGAGACGGGGTTTCACCATGTTGACCAGGATGGTCTCGATCTCTTGACCTCGTGATTCACCCACCTCGGCTTCCCAAAGTGCTGGGATTACAGTTTTGAGCCATGCGCCCGGCCGCAAATAAGGTTATTAAAGAATATTATAACTAAGCGGCCCTCCTGCCACAAGGTTCTAACAAAACTTTCCACTTTACAAACATTCTGTGTACTAAATGCCCACTTCATTCGAACCACTCCAAATTGAAGAGTAGAATATGAGTGATATGTCTACATAGATTTAGCTGTGCCATCACATGAGGCTTGTATTGTACAAATTTGTGTGAACAATCATGTGTGCGAGTGGAATAAAATATATATATATATATATATATATATATATTTTTTTTTTTTTTTTTTTTTTTGAGATGGAGTTTCGCTGTTGTTACCCAGGCTGGAGTGCAATGGCGCGATCTCGGCTCACCGCAACCTCCGCCTCCTGGGTTCAGGCAATTGTCCTGCCTCGGCCTCCTGAGTAGCTGGGACTACAGGCACGCGCCACCATGCCCAGCTAATTTTTTGTATTTTTAGTAGAGACGGGGTTTTACCATGTTGACCAGGATGGTCTCGATCTCTTGACCTCGTGATCCATCTGCCTCGGCCTCCCAAAGTGCTGTTATTACAGGCTTGAGCCACCGTGCCCGGCCAAAATAATATTTTTATGATGTAAGTAAATATTAACTTAATAAGGAACAAACGCGAAAGAACTTCCACCTGGTATCTGTTTACTTTGTAGCTTGGTTTTGAAAAATATGTGTTTGTTGTTAATTACAAGTAATACTTTGCTGATAAAAAGTCAAATGATATACTGGGTACCGTGTGGCTCACACCTGTAATTTCAGCTCTTTGCAAGGCCGAGGCTTGAGGATCACTTGAGCCCAGGAATTCAAAACCAGCCTGGGCAACAGTGAGACCTTGTCTCTCCGAAAAATAAAATAAATTAGCTAGTTGTGGTGGCACATGCATGTAGTCCCAGCTACTCAGGAGGCCCAGTTGGGACGGGAGGATTACTTGAGCCTGGGAGGTTGAGGCTATACTGCACCATGATGGCCCTACTGCACTCCAGCCTGGGCAGCACACAATGGACCCTTGTCTCTTAAAAAAAAAAAATTCAGATGATACAAGTGTCTAAGGGTTAATCCCCAATTTGATTCTATTTTATTTCCAAGAAGTAGCCATTTCTTTCTGTACTTTTTTCTTTTCCTTTTTTTTTTTTTTTTTTGAGTTGGATTTTTTTTTTTTTTTTTGTCGCCCAGGCTCAATCTTGTGGTGGCGAAATCTTGACTCACTGCAACCTTCACCGCCCGGGTTCCAGTGATTCTCCTGTCTCAGCCTCCTGAGTAGCTGGGATTACAGGCCTGTGCCACCATGCCCGGCTAATTGTATTTGTAGTAGAGATGGGGTTTCACCATGTTGACCAGGCTGATCTCGAACTCCTGACCTCAAGTGATCCACCCGCCTCAGCCTTCCAAAGTGCTGGGATTACAGTCATCAGCCACTGAGACCAGCCTGTTTTTTCTGTTCACATGAAAACTTTAAGTCAGTTAAAGTTGAGTTTTAACTCAGTTTGTTTTCTTTTTCTTTTCTCCCCCTACCCTTAACTTCAAGTGACACAGTGAGTCATTTGAGTGAGCAAGAAAGCTTTTGCCGTTTGTGATTTCCAGGGTAAGCTTGTAACGTGGCTTGTAGGCTTTGGTCACTCCTGGACTATTACCATTGTATCTAAAAGCCCGTTGTCTTGGTCTTGGACAGAGTCCAGAATGCAGGCTATTCTCTGAGCCGGCCAGAGGGTGACACAGGAAAGTCCAAGTCCATTTCTCATCACCATCGAGGAAGAGTCCAGTTTCTTGGAAGGTCAGTGCAATTTATTTATGTCTCTTGAAAATAGCCCCTATACTTTCATGTCCAGATGTCTTAGAGCATATTACAACCTCTCCTCCTCTTCCCCTTTCCAGGGCCCTGTTCTGACAGCTGTTTGACAGTGCTTGCATGTATTTTAACTCTGAGTCAGACCAGTAGGGGGATCAGACCATTGGTGAAAATGTCAACAGTAAGATTATTTTAAGGAAATCACTCATTCTATGTCTTCAGCATTGTGGTCTCCTCAGTACCCTTTGGAGAGTTTTAAAAGAAACAGCTAGGATGAAAGTCCCTGAGGTGACAGAGCAGCTGGCCCCTTTCTGCAGGCTCCCATTCTGAACGGGTGTTCTGAGCTTCTGTTTGTGTGGTTGCAGTTGCTACGTTATCTTTTTGTTTTTGGTCTTTTGTAAATTGTGGGAAAGACTGTGCTCCAGACAACCAATTCTAATTGCTTAAATTCTGTTTTCGTGGGAGTAAAATGGCACTAAATACAGAGTATGAACTTTCTCATCTGTTGTATTTTTAATGTTTTCCCTTCCACTTCCCCAGTCTCTGACCTTGGCCAAGTTACCTAACATGATTAAGCGTTTTCCTCATTTGCTAGCAGGGGCTGGGTGGGCATTAAATGAAATAAGTAAAGCACCTGGCATGAAACACAGGAGGTGATTCTAATAACTGCACTCAGCCTGGCATAGCAGAGTGGCCGTGCGCCTGCCTTAATGCTACGCAAGGGCTGCCGTTGGCTGCACTGTCTGACTGCAGAGATGTGGATTTTCACTCAGAGCCATCTCGTCTCTGTTCCGGCCCTTAACAGGTACGCTCTGCTAAGGAAGTCAAAAGAACGGCAAGGGGCTGGATGTCCTCAAGAACCTGAACTACTTAAACATCACATACGTCGCCTTGTATAAAGCATAAGTGTCAACCTGACACCCGAGCTGGCTCAGGTGAACGAGTACTGAGAGGAGAGAATGTACGTTTGCTTTACCCACCGCCACCAAGAAAGCAGTCTGATGAGATTTTTTTTGTGCGGGCGTCTAAGCAGCAAGAGAATAGAAATACAGTGTCTCATGAAGGATCCCAGGGTTTGGGGGAAAATGTGACCACACACACACAAACGTCTTCAATGGATCAGCTGCTGGGACCGAGGGAGTGAACTTGGGGACTTCCTTCATCAGCACTGACTTTCTGTTTTCACAAGACAGAGGTCTGTCCCGCTGCTCTCTCCCCGTCTCCTACCCCACATCCTGTCTTAGCCACAGTCTCCAGAACCCGTGATGAACTGTGATCTGCCGTGGAGCCTGTCCCTACCTGTGACCTTGCAGCCTCTTGGCCTTCAGAGCAGAGGCCAACCCAGCACAGGGCAGCTGTGTTTTAGGAAGAGCAAATGAACTTCACACCATTCTTCTATATTTCTGGTTTGTCTTTGGTTTCATTTTTTTTTAAAAAATTACTTCTGGGTGGGGATTGAGGGTGGAGGGGAGGGTGTTTGGGAAAGATAAATAGACATAAATATATAACAATCACTTCTTGAAGAAGTATAATTGTAAATAAGCCATGTAAAATGCCTTTTTAAAATTTAATTTCTAGGTGGCTCCAGTTCAAACCTAGGGTTTATATATTAGACCATTTATTTGGTTGGCAAGTGCAGGAACTCAGTTAAAATGCAGTTGGAGGATGTCATCTCCCGAATGGCTGTCACCTTGGGAAGGGAGTGGATATAGGGCACATCACAAAAGAACAAAATAACCCGACCTTTATTGCTGGGAGCTGGCTTCTGCCCCTTTCTTTCTCCCCACGAGTCTTGTCCTTGACTTCTGCTCTGGATTCACTCTTCCCTATTGGCCACGTTGGAGGTCATCCCACTCTCCGCTAAGCGGGAGGCTGCTATTAGAGCAGGCTGCTTCCTGCCCGAAGCAGGCCCTCCAGGGCTCGCTGCACACACATCCCTGGCTCTCCAGGCTTCATGTTTCGTCCTTTGATCAGCATGTGGTTTGGGAGGGGGGTTATATGGGAACCCCTCCCCCCTTTTTTTCTCTGGAAACTTGGCCACAGTTTCTGAACAATGTGCCTACATTACCAGCTGGTTTCAGTGATTCCTCTGTTTCCCTTTTTAGTTCCTGGAAAGACTGTCAACATTAGTAACTGATACAGAGAACCAAGGAGCACTGGAGTAGGAAAGAATTCAGCCAGGGAGCCAGTGACACTTGTGTGCTGTGGGGCAGCTGGGATCCAGGAAAGACCGGATGGAAGCTTTGAAATTAGACCAACAAAGCTCCAGATGGCAAGAGCCCAGGTGCGCTGCTTACACCCGCACCTGCATTTTCAAGTCATATTCTTTTTTTTTTTTTTTTTTTTAAGTCAGGGTCTGGCTCTGTCACCTGGGCTGGAGTACATCGGCACCATCACAGCTGACTGCAGCCTCATCTCCCAGGCTCAAGCCATTTCCTACCTCAGCCTTCCATGTAGCTGGGACTACAGGTGCACACCCCCATGCCTGGCTAATGTTTTTTATTTTTAATAGAGCTGGGGTTTCGCCATGTTGCCCCGACTCCTCTCACACTCCTAGACTCAAGCAATCCGCCCACCTTGACTTCCAAAGTGCTGGGATTACGGGCAGGTGTGAGCCATCATGCCCAGCCTTGAAGTCATATTCTAAATTGTATTTGAATTTGCGCCTCTTTGTTTTTCCCTCAAAGCCCTCAATTTGTAGTCCCTGTCCGCTTCTGCAGAATCTGGAAAATGCCAGTTTTCCTCTTGCCCTTCTTTTCTATACAACATATTTATATATTGTGGTGAGGAGTACTTTCTGAAGAGTACTTTGTATTAATTTTAATTGCCTTGTTTGCCTTCAACTTCCTTGATTTTCACAGTTTACATGGGTGTGTTTGTGTGTGTGTGTGTGTATATACTTGTGGGTTAGGGCTTTTGTGCCTCATGTGTTGGTTCTGTGAACATATGATCCCGCAAACTGTGGGAGTGATTGGCCAGGCCTTGTTTTCATGTTTGTGTTTTCTTTTGAAGAATACAGTGGTATTGGAAATAAATTGCATTGCAAAGCTCTTATCGGCTCATATGAGAGAGCAGGCTCCTGCCCTTGAAAATGCTGGTTAGCTATAGCCTATGTATTTTTAAGCTTTTAAGCATTTCATGCTTTAAAATACCTTCACAAGGGAACGTTACACCCAGAGGTTCATTTGGTTTTCCTTTGTTTTAGGGTGCATATAGCAGTAAAGGACCCCCGACCACATTTCGCCCTCCATCGTGCAACCCCGCCCCCACCAGGCCTTTGTCCCTGCCTCAGCTTTTCTCCCCGTCTCATTCTCCTATCCCTTTTCCTCACTGAAGGCTGTGGTGAGTTGCTTTCATTGTGACAACACTGTGATGTCATTTGGAAGGATTTGCCAGTACAGACTGATTCTGAGTTACAGGCGGCAGTGTTGTTTGAAGCTCTACGTTACTATAATTACTGTCAAGTACACACTGTTGGCAAAAGATTAACAGCAGACTTTTAAAATACTGATTTGAGAACAAAAGGGAAGGGTCTCTTTTCACTGCTTAAAGTGGGGTCACATGGACACCCTTGCAGTCATAAGTCCGTCTGATGAGTGTGGAATCTCTGAATGTAACTGTCATGCTAATTCCAGATCTTGAATACTATATGGGATATGTTACAGTTCAAAATGTACAGCCAGGCCCCTGTGCTGTTAATAGCGTGGAATTGTCATTAAAAAAAACAGGAACCAAATGTGACCTTGTGCACATGTTGACAGCTGAAATTCTTATGGCCCCTTAAATTAATCTTGTCTTTGATTGCTGTGTGCCGGGAAAGGTGTCCCTGTTGATGCTGTTTTTGGGGGAAAGGGGGTACTTGCAAGAATACTCAGTTTGAAATAATAGGTCCTGTTGTCAGAGATCCTCTACCACAGACATGAATAGTTGAGCAGCAGCCACAAGGATTGATTGTATCCACCACATTGACAATAGCATTGAGCATAGCTAGCTTATTTTCATGACTACGTGTTTTTGAGCTCGCTCTTATGTTTTAAGAGGTGCCAGGGGTTCATTTTTGCACTGAAATCTAAAGATGTTTTAAAAAAAGTTTCACAGAAAATAGTCCTTTCTCATTACATTATTTACTCATGTGTTTGTACATTTTTGTATTTTAATTTATGAATGATTTTTTCAGTAAAAACTACATACTCAAGAACCAAACTTTGGTGGTGGTTTCTCTGTCTAGGACAGGTGGGCTCCTTGGGTGGGGTCTTTCCTTTTTCCTTTCCTTTCCTACAGGAGTTCAACTTCAGGCAGCTCAGCTGAGCTCTGGATCTTGCTGGGGTAAATAATGCCCGACCCGTGTTGCAGGTGGGAGGGCTGAGTGAACAGCTACACGGTGTGACAGAAGCACTGCTCCCAGGGTGCTGCCAGGGAACGCCCACACAGGTTTTCTTTCAGGAATCACCCAGGTGGTACCAATAAGACACTTGGGGAAGGGGACTTGGGGGTAAAGGGGATGGTGAGGGTTGATGGAGTTTGATTCCAGAAGGTTCTCTGGGATCAGTCTAGGGTTTATCTGCCTGATTCTGCTCAGAGATTGTTATGACTTCTGTGTTGAATGTTTGCCACTCACAGTATTAATAGTGTCAGATGCTGCGGACACAATAATAGAGAAAATAAGGATGGGTGGCCTCGTTAAGCTCATGGTTCACTGGCCGTTATGACTAAAATTGTATCCTCAGTACATGCTCCAGAAGAGGAAGCTGTGGGTGATGAGTGCATGGAAGGGCAGGCATCCGGTGGGAATGTAGGGAAGGTGGGAGCGGGTGAGCTAGGGGAGACAAAGAACATGGGTGCACAGCTGCAGGGCAGGGAGGAAGCCAGTGTGGCTGGAGTGGAGGGCAGGGCTTCACAGGGACGGCCAGGCTGGGGAGATGGGCCTGGGCCTTGCAGTGCAGGGCTTTGCAGGCCAGGGTGAGGAGTTTGCATTTCATCCTTAGAGCAATGGATTGGAGAGTTTTCAGCAGGTAGGGCTGTGTGATGCGATTCAGATTCCATAGCAACTGTGAGAGACATCTCTGGCTGCAGGGAGAATGGGCGGTGATACAGAAGAAGGGGCGGTGGGTTGGGTGCAGGGATGATGGAGGAGGGGAGACTGGGAGATGCTGAGGTCATGCCCCCAGGACCTGCCAGTGGTGATTGGCATGGAGGACTCCACCTAAGCTGCTGGCTTCCCACTTGCACTGATGACAGGGCCATTCCCTGAGACTGGGTCACTGGAGTCAGACCAGATTGGTGGGGCAGATAAGAGAACAGTTGTGACTGCTGAGCTCTGGGAGTTTTGAGACAACTTGGCAGAGATGGCAGGATGGGGGCCATGGGTGGACTGGGGAATCTCTGGGTTGAGGAGGTTAGTGAGAACCCAGCAGTGGATGAGACAGCACCATTGCACTCCAGTCTGGGTAACAAGAGCGAAACTCCGTTCAAAAGTAAATAAATAAATGAGATGGGAAACCAAACACTGCCTTTGAAGTGTGAGGCTGTGCCATGCTCCTTCACGGAGGAGGGGCCGCTGGGTCTGACCAGGTCTGCCAGTGCCCTCACCAGCTGGCAGATGTTAACTGGAGAACGGTACCAGAAAGGCTGCAGGTTGGCCATGGCACAATTGCTGACCTGCAGCAGTCCTGAGGGTGAGTAGTGGGCCCTCCACAAGCACTGGAGTTTTGTCTAAGTGAGCCCTCTTGCTTTTCGGAGATGCTACTACTACCAGCCAGTGAGCAGACTAGGACACCTCTAGACAGGAAATTTATCTAAAAATTGGAGGACCACCTGAGGTGCCCAAGTGACGATGGGCCCGGGCTGCTGTGCACACGGTCGGGAGGCATTTGGGGCAGTTAGACTCCCCAGTGAATAGGTTTTCTAGCACAAATGGAATGTGGTATTCGATGTCCCTAGGGAGACAAAGGGCAGGTTTTTAAACTGGGTCTTTCCAAGCTTCCAACTCTCTGGCTCACATGTTTCAGAATGAACTAGAAGTCTATTCCTCGACCCTGGGCCATGGGCACTTCCAGAACTCTGAAGTGGCTCAGGAAGGTGATTCCCAAAGGCCAGCCTTGCTTGAGGTCCTGGTGGAGCCCGTCTGGACTGAGGGCGATGCTGGGCCTGCCACGCAAAGACCTCATTCCAGAAGGCCTCCCTCGGAGCCACCAGCCTCATTTTTTGGCATGCTGACTCCTGGAATTGAGGGGCTATTTCTAAGACATATGTTTTTGGCTTTCTTGTGTGTGCCTCATCAGCCTGCACAGGATCCCCCATCTCAAGGGAGGGAAATTCGGGGTTATTGTTCCTGCCTCTAAGGGCCTGAGGGGCCACCCAAAGGAATTCCCTTATTTCTTCTTCTCTCGTAGGTGTTGAGATTTTATCGTCCTAATACTAAAAAGCAGGCAATGACTGAGCTTTTCTCTTAACCTTAATCTGATCCTCTCAGGTTGTGCCTTCTTGTTTTGAAGACCACAGACGAGGCTGTCAGGTGACTGCTGAACTAGAACTAAAGCTACAGTTTTCCTCAGATCTTGGCAAGTTCTGCTAATGGTACCTCTGGGGGCACAATAATCCTCAAATGACATCCAACCAGACTCCCTTAAATAAGGTTCGGGCTGGAGCCATCTATGGAAATATAAGGCAAAGGACAGAGCACCTCATTTTGCCTTAGATTTCCCAGTAGAGGGGGATTTGGGAGAAAGTGCTGGTTCTCTCTGTCGGGGAAGTGCCAGGTGCAGCAGACCTGGGGCTGCGGGGCAGGCTGGTGGGGTCCAGGTTCATTTGCGTGGCTGCTGGATATGCTGGGTTCTCGGGAAGGATGCTTGTCCATGGAGGCATGCGGCTTCTGGTGAGCCACCTGTGTGGCCACTGGGGGGAAGTCTTATCACCCTGTCAGGATACACGGAAAGCACAGGCTGATCAACAGGAAGCACAGGGTTCTTGCATGAGGAGGGCCCAGGCCAGCCGTCCCCGCAGGAAGCACAGGGTTGTTGTGCATGAGGTGGGCCCATGCCAGCGTCCCTGCAGGAAAGCATGAGGTTCATGGTGAAGAAGCCCCAGGCCAGCGCCCACCAGCATCCCCGCAGGGAGCAGGGGTTTTGTGCATGAGGAAGCCCCAGGCCAGTTGCCCACCAGTGTCCTTGCAGGATGGGTGGGGACTTCGAATGGGTAAAGGTAGAAGCCTGTCCCATGTGGGTAGGGGGGTCCTGGGGCCATCAGAACCATGGAATGTCAATTGGCACTCAGGCCCACACACCAGCAGGGGCGGCAAGAACACCCCATGCTATGAGACACAGGAACACGCGCCTCTCTCAGATCTGACTTGTGTTTTCCGGGGGCTTCCTTCAGCTAGATCTGTACTTGAGTCTATTTAAATTGGGGAAGGACAGAACTAAATCCAGGATCTTAAATTCAGATGTGCTGCCGCAGCTGTGAGCCAGGCCTAGGGCACTGGCCGGGAAGGAAACGCACAGGGCGGCTGTGAGACACAACCAGTTTCTGCCTGCACAGTCTCAGGAGGGACCCGCTATTTTCCAGAGGGACCAAGGGCTTCTGTGCCAATGTGGGTGGACCAGGGTGAGCCCCGCATGGGCAGGTTGGAGCCACACTTCTCTGGCTGACAGGTTGGCCGGCTATGGTCACAGCTCCACCAGCAGTGGGATGTCCCCAACACTGGCACTTTCTTCAGGCATCCTCTGATAAGTTCATCATCTCAGTGAACATCCTGAGAGCAGTGGCCCTGTGGATGGCAATACTGCGGGGGCCACTGGGCGGAGGTCTGCACTCAAGTCACATCGTTGGGTCTCACCAGAGGGCAGCTCTGTAAAGGTAAAGGATGTGACCCAAGCCGTGAGTCCGGCCTGGGGTCTGCAAGAGCACCCTTGGGGAAATACGGCAATGAAGAGAGTCACGGCCACAGATGAGAGGAGCAGCGCTGCTGGGTTACTCTAGGTACAGTTTAACAAAAGCAGAAGGAACCGGAGATTCCGTGCTGCCACACAAAGGCCTCAAGCCCACCCCAGACAGCCCCAGACTTACCCGGGCAGTGACCCCAGTGTTGAACAGTTGGTTTAGGGGGACTGGAAAACAAGAAGGGAAAAGGCAGATTTCCCAAAACAGCCCACAAAAGGAGACACTGTGGAAGACAATGTGCACATGGATGAACCAGGCTGGCAGGCCTGGAGGTGGGATGGGAGCGAACCTCTTCCTCTGTGTTATCTGTTGCAATGACCACAGTACTGGCTTGGGAGCTTCCTTCTCTGAGGCTAGTTCAGCCCCAAGTACGAGAGAGAAAAAGACACAGTCAACTGCAAGTGAATTGCCCACAAGCACTGTGTATGTGTGTGTGTGTGTGTGTGTGTGTGTTTTAAAAGACAAGGTCTCTGTCACAGGCTGGAGTGCAGCGGCACGATCTTATCTCACAGCAGCCTCTACTTCCTGGACTCAAGTGACCCTCCTGCCTCAGTCTCCCAAGTAGCTGGGACAACAGGTATGCATCACTATACCTGGCTAATTTTTAATTTTTGTAGAGACAGGGTCTTGCTGTATTGCTCAGCCTAGTCTCAAACTCTTGGGCTCAAGCCATCCTTCCACCTTGGCCTCCAAGGTGCTAGGATTACAGGCATGAGCCACCATGCCCAGCCTATTTTTGTTTTTTGGTTAAATGAACACATTTTAACTATGGGCAAGCCTGACTTTTTGATTTAATGAGATTGTGAAACGCGCTTACCTGAAGCAGGGCAGAAGTAGCTTTACGGTGTGTGGACTTTGCTCTCACTGCCTCCTCAACGCTGGCTTGCCTTCCGGCATCCTCACAGGGGAGATTCCGGAGCCAACACAAACCTCCTGGCCCCATCAATCCCGAGCATTACAAATATAAGGTCCTTGGGAAACCTGTCACCTCTTGACGTGTTAACTCACATTGAGCTCATCCAAACTGGAGTATTGAGGAAATGCACATAGTACCAAAGCAATACAGCTCAGTGTGAAAAAACAGGCTCAAATCGCTGGCAGGGCTACCACCTGAAAATACGAGTTGCTAACATGGGGCTCTTCCTCCAGGCTTTCCTTCTATGTATGCATAGATGTACGTGCTTGTCTTCTTTATAATTTTTTCTTACAAAAAAAGGGTCATCTGCCTTCTGAACTAAGAGTATGGTAAGCATCTCTCCATGTTC